CTGTTTCTTTGAAAACAGTGCTGATCTTAGCACAGTATGTGGATTTCGTGAAAACATCGCTTCCAGGGATGGTCGGGATTCGAGTCAGAAAATGAGGGCACTGGCAGAATGCTGCCCTGCTTATGACCCGTGCATGTAGATGTGGGAGGTGGAGTCACCAGTGGTCACCACACGATGGTGTACTCCTGAGGTGGGTCACTGAAGTGGCATGGAGACAGTTTTTGGTGGCAAGACCAGTGAGCTTTGAAGCTAAACTGTTAGGACAGCTTGTGTATGTGGACATCAAAGTTCTGGAAGCTGATATGAAGAAATTGAAGTGAAAGTGAAAGCAGCCCTTGGAATGGGTTGTGTCCCAGATATACCATGTGGTCCTCAAGGACCCTTCTGCCCAGTGACTTGATAAACTAGTTGCTAGATTGAAACCCTCTCCTTTCTGTTATATCTTACGGTTCTAGGGAGTGTGGGTTTCGGGAAGGGAGTAAGGTACAAGTAGTTGTGGGTTTTTAGGAGAATAAGCATGAAAACTAGTTAAGAATTCATCTGAAAACAAGTGTTTTGTGTAAACAGTACCTATTTTGCAAAGATCACGAAGACAAGATTTAGTTGACAACCTTGAAAATGCATCTTCTGTTATGAAAATATTGGGTGGAAAAACATTCTGTGCCATATTGTCATTGTGAAACACACTGAGTGGCCAGATTATTATGATCTCTGAATGCATAATAATCTGGCCACTCTGTGTGTGTGTGTGTGTGTGTGTGTGTGTGTGTGTGTGTGTTAGAGGCCTGGTGCATGAATTTGTGCATGGGTGGAGTCTGGCCTGCCTGCTGATCAAATTCCTGGTTGAGGGGACAATTTGCATATTAGCCTTTTATTATATAGGACATACACTGAGTGGACAGATTATTATGTGCTCAGAGATCATAATAATCTGGCCACTCAGTGTATATGTCACTGTGCAGTTTTTACCTGGTAAAAGTTTAGGTGAGACTTTTTTTTAATTGTTTTTATGATTTTTAAAGTTGAGATGGTTTTTAGTTTTGAGAAAATGTATTAGAAGGTTATTGTGGGATACTTGATTACATTATTTTCAAATCTTGCATAATGTGTTATCAAATTAGAAGACTTGTCTCTGTTGATACACCCATCCAGGTATGTGCTCCTTTTCAGCGTACTTTAGCTCACGCCTGAATTGTGAGCATTTAGCATTTCTCCAAGAGTTGATCAGGAGTTGGAGATTGTCCCCAGGTTATTAAAACCTATGAGCCACTAAGAGCTTGATCGGTGCTAAAACATCTTCGGGAAATTGGTGTTCCAGAATTTTTAATTTGACAAGGACAAAGGCCCAAATAGATGGAGATGTTATTATGAGGAAAAATATAAAAGGGGATCAAGTAAATAAATATAATTTCCTATAGGTGAACAAGGCTTTTTGTAGCTTCAATCAAACTGCATTGGGAAACTTGGCCAAAGGAGCCAAATCACTGCTCTAGATGAGGACGTCCCTTAAACACAGAAATTACTAGAACCAGGACTGAGAACACTCTGAGCAGTGGGATTCATTTACTAAGATTAATTATCAGTTAGTGCTGACTTGAAGATTTCAACACTGGTTGCCTAATAACTCTGCTTTTAATGGAAACAGCAGAAAACAGCTGTCATGTCAGCAAATGTAGCCTATCTGTCCTTTCTTAATTTAAATAATTAATGGTCTCCCCCTAAGGGAGAGTCCAGTGGAGGAGAAACCCAAGGGAAACTTAGCTTCTCTTCAGTCCCACTTCTGGATAATTAGCGCTTTCTCCCATGTCCGACTGATTGAGAAATCCAGCTGCTCCCTGAGGACTGGGGTTTCCGATCTGGTGTCCCAGTTACTCAGGAAAAGTTGCTGTCAGATCCTCCATTTGACTCAGGTGGATTACATTGTCTGCTTTTGCCAGAATGATTAATTATGTTTTCAAGTTAATTGTGAAGTTAGCCAGGCAAATACTGTGTGCCCTCTGTGATATAAATGAGGAACTCTTCTTTAGATATGAGCCAATAATTGTATTTTTAAAATGTGGGGCACTTGTTAGCTGTAACTGTTTATCTCATGCTGTCTTGTTTAGTGTATAGGATTTTCTTTTCAATTTGGTTGTGGCTTCCTAAATTTCCTGTGCTAACTCCAAGGCTCTCCTCCCCTTCGCTCACCCCTGCCGGTGAGACTCGCCTGGTGCCAGTGCGGAGAGCAGTCTAACCAGTGTTTCCTACTGGTTTTTCTCCACTTTGGGGGGAGTTCATCACATACATCATATTTAATCCCTTCCTTTACTGGTTTTAGTCCAGTTCTGCTTTTAAAAAAAGTTTTTAAAAGTCACTTTTTAGCTTTGTAACTCTTGACCACTTATCTTTAAAAAAAAGGGGGGGGGGGTTTGTAAGACAGAAAAAACACAAAACCCCCAGTGTCTGGAAGTGTTCTTTAGAAGCCCTTAAGAAGGTCTTTTCTTTCTTCCTAATTAAACATATTTTGCTTTAAACAATAGCATTCAATATAAATAAGAATATTCTTATTCTTATTCAGCTTTGCTCACATAAAAGAGGGTTTTTTATTGCTATTTTCATTACATAAAAGCTGTTCTATATCTTGAGCTAAATGCCTCTTTATGAGCTAGCTTACATAACACAGTCTTTTGAACACAATTCTTTTGAAATGCATGCAGTTCCTGGACAACTACTGTATCCGGTATCACAGGCAGGCCCGTGTTTGGGGACCAATAAGTACTAGACAGTTGTTTCTTAATTTCTATTGAACTGTTTCCTAGTCACATTTATAAAAATGAGACCTTTTCTAGTATCTGAATGTATGAGAGTGTCATTTGGAGTGTCTGCAGGGTGTGCAAAGACTAATTAATGAAGGTACTTTCAGATAACTTCAAGCACTAAAAGAAAGAAAACAGGATGGTATGATAGAGTGGCGTCAGGGAGTTGGCACCACCTTAGATGGGGAAGTTTTAGCGATGGCCTCTGAAGAAGGGACATGTGAGTGCAGACCAGAATAATGACAAAAGTGAGTCAGAGATCTGGGGGCTGTTTCGAACAAAGGCACTAAGGCCAGTAGGAACTTGGCAGGGACTGAAGAATGTGACTGGAGCCTGCGAGGGAGTGGTAGCTTAGAGGTTAGGGAGGTGGGCAAGTAGGCCCTCTCCCCCGTAGTGTGTGGGTCGTGGTTCCAACTTGGGAATTCATTCTAACCACAGTTAGGATGTTAAGCAGAGAAGTAATGTCTGATTTTCCAAAGCGCTTGTAGGCTGCCTTGTGGAGAGTGGTTCAGTTGTCAGTAATTCTGGAGACACCGTGAACTTTGTGCTTAGCTGCTTGGGAGGAGTACCGTATTTTTCGGACCATAAGACGCACCAGTTTTTAGAGAAGGGAAATGAAGAAAAAAAGATTCTGAAACAAATAGTGTCCTAAAATATTTTATGTGCGTTAAAACCCAACATCACAGTCATAAACACATGTAATCAACCCTGTAAAGTAAACAGCAGCATTTAGAACCATTTTAGAGCCAGGCAAGCACACAGAGACCACACAGAGCCGGGCAAGTAAAAAAACTTTTTTTTTAAAGTATATGTGTAGGCTATATTTGGACCATAAGACGCAGGGACTTTTTCCCCCCCCACTTCTGGGGGGAAAAAAGTGCGTCTTATGGTCCGAAAAATGCGGTAAATAACAAGCCTGCCAACTTGGGAATTTTCTAGTTGTCTCCCAGGAGCTCCCACTTTTAAACCAGCTTATCTATTGATAAATTTCTAAGTATAAGAGGATTGCCTGCCTTTGGTGAGAAAACCTCATGCCCCCTGTGAATTCCTCTCTGTGGTTTCAGGAAGGCAGGCAGACCAGCGACTCCAGGAGCCCTCCCTGGCTCTCGCTTTAGGTTCTGAGATGGAAGTTCGGCTGCGTGTCTAAGGGTGGACCTGAGAAGGAAGGATTTGGGATGGAATTAGGGAGGAACCACTCCCTGCTTCCTGCTGATAAAATTGTCTGGACTGTTTCTTCCCAGGGAGCCCTGCTCTAATGTCCTCCAGTAGAGATTTTAGATGACACGTAGCCATGAGAATGTAGGGCTCAGTTATCACAGTGTTTTGGTGAGTCCAGAACATTTCTGAACTGGCTGTGTGCAGGACACTGGTAGGCCTTTGACACTGGATGATAGGCACAGGGTTTCTACCTTCACCAAGTATCAAAACTAAAAACTTTCCTTATTTTTCAGCTTACTCTCTAAACCAGATGTAAGGGGGGGGGGAGACACAGACTAATCATGTTTTACTCATTGCCATATTAAAATTAATAGCCAGATTTCAAGGACACCAAAGGAGATCAGCTTAGCTTACGCCTTATTTAAGAGTCATTTACCTTTATCAGAATATGCAGTGTGCGTGTTGATTAGTATACACTGAGTGGCCAGATTATTATGATCTCTGAAAGTATAATAATCTGTGTGTGCGCACACGCACGCGAGAGAGAGAGAGAGAGAGAGAGAGAGAGAGAGAGAGAGAGAGAGAGAGAGATGAGAATGAGAATGAGAGGCCTGATGCATGAATTTGTGCATGGGTGGGTTCCGGCCAGCCTGACGGGGGGGTGGGGGGGGGGCATGGGTGGTTGGCTGACCTGCCTGCTGGTCGAACTCCTGGTCGAGGGGACAATTTGCATATTATCCTTTTATTATATAGGATATACACTAAGTGGCCAGATTATTATGCGTTCAGAGATCATAATCTGGCTACTCGGTGTTTTGATAATGTCACAAAAGCATTTAATTCATAAAAGCTTATTTGCTTAAATTTCTGTCATATATTCACAGAAATTATGAGATTGCCTAAATGCTAATTAAAGGAACATTTTCCAGTCTCAATACCCTCAGTTTCTTCATCTGTTAGAGTGATGAGGTTTTTGTAAAATATTAGAATTACAAATTTTTGCCTTGATAATGCCAATGCATTCTTAGTTGTCACTTTCTTTTACAGGGAAATCCTCGTTGACAATTCAGTTTGTTGAAGGCCAATTTGTTGACTCCTACGACCCAACCATAGAGAACAGTAAGTATTGTTTTCAAGGATTTATAAACTGAGAAGCCTGCCTTTTGCATACAAACAGCCGTTTTGTGTTTGGAGGCTTTGATGGAATGATATTCAGTTAGACTTATAGATCACGAACTAGGGTCCATAAAATGCTTCCAAAAACTTGACCCACTTTACAGTGAGTGATTTTTTTTATCTCACATCCAGACCCTGCCATCTAAAAATTGTTACTCATCTCCATAGGAATCAGATTCTGTATCAGAACCCCGTGTGCTAGATTCCGCTTTAGGAAGATGAAGAGACAACTTCTTTTTTCCCTTTTTCTTCCTCTTAACAGTAGCCCTCTTTAGGGGTTCTAAGCTAGAGAAGAAAGATGCAAACACCATGAGTTCCTTGTCTTACTCTTATGGAAGCCCAAGCTGCCCGACCCTTCCAGTCCTGGCTACTTAAGGAAGGAAGTCTGGGAGAAGCGAGCCAGCTGTTCGGGGTAGGACAGAGCAGTCGCAGCATTAGAACACACCTGTCAGGCCATGTGCAGCAAAAGCATTGAAGACTAGAGCCAGCCATGACCTTTACCTGGTCCAGTTTCAATCCATGGTTTCAGAATCTCCCTGAAGGATTTAGGACCCTGAGCCAAATCTTAACTCTGGGGATCACAGAGGAGAATCTGAAGCTTGTTTGAAGGTGCTTGTTAAAAGCTAGTCTGGTTTCAGGCCATCTTTGAACCCAGCTTGCCTGGAATCAGTCTTCTCAGATGGTTGACAGCAGTGCTTACCTGGGATTTGTCACTAGGAACTTGCAGATTTAAACATGGGATCCAAAAAAACCTGATTGGCACATTAGACAGGCAGCCTACCTAATAGCCAGGCTCTCCAGCTTTAACAGCTTGATTCGTAGACTTCACCTGACCAAAGCTTGCAAGAGAGACTTAAAAAGAGGCTCTCAACAAGGGTTGACAAATTTGGACCAAATTGCCTATGAGCTAAGAATAGTTTTTACATCCTATCTAATAAAAGAGTAATATGCAAATTAACAATCACTCTGCTACACCCACCAGCCAATCAGGAGAAAATATGCAAATAAACCCAACAAAGATGACTACGGCCACAGAGAGCAGGAGGAAGGCTTAAATTTCCTCGGCAGTGGAGAAAGCCAAGCTTTCCTCCTGCCCTTGCCAGCCTAGGCCTCCACTCCAGGCTACAAAGTTTCAATGATAGAAGATACATAAATCCAAACCGAAATGGTGGCAGCCACGGAGCTGGAAAGAGTGGGAGACTTGGGTTGCCCCCGGCAATGGAGGAAGCCAAGCTTTTCGCACACACTAGCCAGCCCAGGCCTCTGCTTAAAGCTACAAAGTTTCAATTATAGAAGATACATAAGTTCCAACAGAAATGACTGCCACCACAGAGCAAGCAGAAGGCTTGGCTCTGATCAAGGCTACAAAGTTTCAATTGTAGAAGATAAATAAACCCCAGATACCAGGGCCTCTGCTTGGGTCCCCGGGGTGTGTGGCTGGCCTGCAGACCACCACAAGCCCCTTGCCCAGGCCACCCCACACCCCAAGGGAACCCCACCCTGATCTGGACACCGTTCAGGGCAAACCAGCTGGTCCCCACCCATGCACCAGGCCTCTATCGTATCTAATAAAATAGTAATATACAGATTGACCATCACTCCAACACACAAGATGGCTGCCCCCATGTGGTCCACGGTCCTGCTCCCATGTGGACACAAGATGACCAGCAGGGGAGGACAATTGAGAAGAACCAGACCTGCAAGGGAGGGCAGTTGGGGGCAATCAAGCCTGCAGGGAGGGCAGTTAGGGATGACAAAGCTGGCAGAGGGAAGTTGGGAGTGACCAGGTCTGCAGGGAAGGGCAATTGAGAGGGACCCAGGCCTGTAGGGGAGAGCAGTTGGGGGGAACCAGGCCTGCAGGGGAGGGCAGTTAGAGGTGACCAGGCTGGTAGAGGAGAGAAGTTAGGGGCAAACAGGCTGGCAGGGGAGCAGTTTAGCATCAATCAGGCTGATAGGGAGTCGTTAGGGGGTGATCAGGTTGGCAGGCAGAAGCGGTTAGGGGCAATCAGGAAGGCAGGCAGGCTAGCAGTGACGTGTGAAAATATACAATTAGGAATTCAAATTTCAGCAAGCATAAGTAAAGTTTTATTGAAACACAGCCATTCTCACTCAGGTACGTACTCTGGCTGCTGTTTCTCTGCAACAGCAGAGTGGATGGAAAGTTGCAGCAGAGACCATATGGCTCACAGAGCCTAAAATATTTACTGTTTGGCCCTTTCCAGGAAGTTTGCTGACCTCTGGCTTAAAATACCCAGCTGTCCTTTGTCCCGTAAGCTGGTAGCAGGGAAGGAAGCGTGTTGGTTGTTAAACTAACTGGGAAGTCACGTGTTTGGAAGTAAGCTCTGCCTTATCTGGAGAGAGGAGTCCTGGTGGCATCCTGTTGATTTCTTTGGCTGTTGCGGAATAGTGTGCCATGTGAGATTAATTTGAATGTTGAATGAACAAGTCCAGTTCTCTCTCCATTGGAACCGGAACACAAGAAAACCATGTTCTTGGCCTTGATATTTGCTCTCCATAGCAATTTAGAATGTGGTGTCCTTAAAAAGATAAAGCTCGTTTGAGAATTTTATCCATAGAATAATAGAAGGTAGTTTTCATGGTAAGCTCTGCTTATAAAGTGATTTTTATAATTGTGTATCTTTGTGCCATTTAAGATTCAGTGGGAAGGAAAATCAAGGTGTTAACTATAAATGCATTTTCTTTATGTGTAAGTAATGGATCAGCAAAAGTCCAACTTCCTTACCTTGATATTGTCTCAGAAATAGAATAAAAGGACCCTACTTTGAAGGCTGTCAACATCATCGTGCTTTTAATGTTTTCCTATCTAATACTTGGTGTTTAATAAAACTTTTATTTATTTGAAGTCTTTAGGCAAGAGCAGAAATTAGTATCAATATATGAATCCCTTAAAAGTTCGTGAGCGTGCCCGGCAAGCCAGTGTGGCTCTGTGGCTGAGCATCGACCTATGAACCAGGAAGTCATGGTTTGATTTTTTTGGTCAGGGCACATGCCTGGTTTACAGACTCCATCCCCAGTGTGGGGCGTGCAGGAGGCAACTGATCATGATTTTCTCTCATCATTGATGTTTCTATCTCACTCTCCCTTTCCTCTCAGAAATCAATAAAAATGTATTTTTTAAAAACATTCATGAACATATTCAGATACCTAATTCTAATTCCCATGCTTCTCACAGTAACACAGAACAGAAACCCTCCTCAACTTCCCCTACTATTCAGTAGAAAAACATTGCTCAGTGATAATAAGGGATTGGAGAGGAATGGATGGTCGTCATAAACTTGTTGCGAGCTACATAAATAGATGGTTTTGTGGTTCTAAAAAACACAGTGAATCTGGAAATGATTCAGTAATTATTTTGCACTTAACTCTAATATAGAACAGGGTGTTTGTAGCAAACATTCAGTGTTGACACATTTATAGGCAATATCACTGCAGAAGCAAAAAGTCTGGGACTTTTAAAACATAGAAGAAAACATCGATAAAACCACATATTTTTGTGTTTGGGGAAATGTTTACATCAATATACTGCCTGTGCAAATGTACTTTATGTACCTCTGTGCTAATCTGACAAGTCATAAACTAGATTGACATGAGGACATGGAGGAATAGCACCAAGTCACAGCTCTGCCATCCCAAAGTGGGAATCAGTTTAGCAAGCCTTGCGTGATGGGCAGGCTGCCCAGTGGGGTGTGGGTTAACAAGAGTTCACCTTGCACGTTAGTAACTCAGACCTTACTTTGTGAACACCTGATCTAAAGTCTTCAGGCTGGCTCTTGTTTATTAGATTTTACTAGTAAGTAGCTATTTGCCTGTTCAGAGATGTTTTAGGGTTTTAAACTAGAAATTAGATTAATTTCTCCAGGGATTAAAAAGGGGAGAATGGTTTCAAGGAAAGTGGTGTCGGAAAGCCAGCTTCCCTCTGCTCCACAAGGCGGTGGAAGAGTTTGCTCCCGGTCTGTGCGCTGGCAGGCGGTCTCAGGATGCTTCCCTTTTTCTGTGGTGACAGCAGGAGGCACTTCTCCCAGGCAGATGGAAGATCTGCATTTCATCTCACCGCTTTGTGTGGGAGGGTTTACATCCTTTTTAGGTGCAAGGATATGCTAAACGTTTGTTAATATTTTATTTCTTTTCTGTCCTATGTTCAGTTCCATTTCCTGCCTTTTTACTCCTACCTCCCAGCCAGTACTTTCCAGTCTCTGTGGCCGAATCTTCCCGTGTTTGTGACCTGGCAGCTCAGGGAGCCCCTGAGTGTGCAGGTCGGGCTCAGGCTCTCTCTGCCCTTGCTGTCCAGTGGTCTTCCCCTCGAGAATTTGCCCATCTCACCGTACCCGCCCAGCCTCTCCCCTGATCTCCAGGGCTTTCTACTGAGCTCCCTCAGTCCCTTGGGTATTTGAATGGGCTTCTCAGACTGAGCATGCCTACCCCTGCCCCTCTGCCCCCTCCTCTGCTGTTCCCTGGGCCTGTCCCGAAGGCTTTTCTGTGTCGGTTCAGGGCCACTTATGCCTCCAGTTGCTCAGGCCAGAAATTGGAGTCTTCCTGCCTGCCTGTTCTTCACACCCTGTCACTGGTATTGGAAAGTCCTCTTGGTTCTACCTTTGAAGTATATCCGGAATTCCACATGTCTCACACCTCCATCTCTGCCCCCTGGTCACTCTATTGTGGGCTCCCACCCATGTCCCTTGTCCATTTTTCTATTCATAACCTAAGCAGAGTGATCCTTTTAAAATATGAATCCTATGGCCTCCTGCCCTTCCCCTACCTGAGTGCCTGCCCACCATTCTCAGCCTCAGTTGCACTGACTTTTTTTTTTTTAATCTTCACCTGAAGACATGCAGAGAGAGAGAGAGAGAGAGAGAGAGAGAGAGAGAGAGAGAGAGAGAGCGCGCGCGCGCGCACGCGCCAGAGACATTGATGTAAGAGAAACACCAATCGGTTGCCTTAGCTCCAGCCAGGATCCAACCAGCAACCCTCCAGTGCACATTAGAATGCTCAGCCAGCTGGCCGGCTGCACTGGCGCTTGCTTTTCTCACTGAGCCTCTCCTCGCCGCTGCACCTCCTGGTGCTGCTCCCAGAGCAGACACCTGACAGCAGGCCTGTGCCCGGCCTCCTTCCTTCATGGTGTCAGCTCTGAGGTGAGGGCCGCAGGAGCTCCAGCACCGAGTGGCCAGAATAATCGGTACTCGAGAAGTAGTTCTGGAGTGAGCGAATGGTCTTTAGTTTAGATAATTTTCCCATAATAGTTATACTTTATAACCACAATTACTTAGTTCTAACTAAAGGTTGCTATTTTATTGCTCACCGACGTTTCTTCTAGAATTTTCATCAAGTCTGAAATGTGTTGATCTTAGGTGAGGTGTGGAAGGCAGGTCTTCCCCGTGGTGCCTCGTGGCTGCCCCTTGGTCCACAGTGAGGGAACGCACAGTTGATGCACTGTGCACCCCAAGTTCAGAGAGGTTGCAGTGTGAGAAAAAAAATACAGTAGAACTTTTTCTTAGAATTCTTTCTTTAAGTGATAATTTCCAGAAAGGGCACGAGAATGCTCTCAAGTGTGCAATTGCTGAGTAGTGCGGTCTGGCATTAGGAGAGCCTGATGCTGGAGTGGTCCTCCCCGATTGTTGCTCCGCTCCTCTCCCTGTCACTTACAGTTTCTCTCCTAGCTGTCAGCGTCTGTCTTTCCCTGCTGGCATGGGGTAGTCTGCTGGCAGCTCTGACCAAGTCCAGCGGGCAGCCAGGAGATGGAGACTCCTCGTGAGCCAAGAAGGCTGGGATGGGGCACAGGAACCTTTTCCATTTGGTTGTCAGGGTTCCAGGTGGTTCTTTGTAATCGTCAGTTGTTATTAATAGTCTTTCCTCTTTTGTCTGTATTTGCTTGAAATTTCTCTCCTTGAAATTCTGAATTAACTTTTCCAGAAGTTATTTGAGTCTGATTTCTCCCTCCTTGGTAGGGAAAAGAAGTTGTGACAAATTGCTTGGATCCTAAGCTAAGTGAGAATGAAGGCTTCACATAGAACATCTGTTCCAATGTGTGTTACCTGTCAGTAAGATTGGAGCTTTTTTACATTCCGGGAGTACCATTTCAGTTAATATTAGCTCTTTATGCTCTGACACCAGACTTCCTATAAGTTAGTGAAAAGGCTTGTGCTTTTGGTTTATTCTTGTCATCAAGCTTTATGTAATATATTTCACTTTTTCACAAGAAAAAGTACTGTCCACAGAGCATTCAAATTTTTTTACTGGATATGAACTATTGCCTGATTTCAGTTTCTTTGAAAAAGTCCAAGGTTTGCCCAGTCTGGATTTCTGTCAGTGGGCAGTGTTTTTAAGCTACGTAACGGGAGTAGAGGAGAATCTGTACACTCCGAGATTTGTCCTTTTTGTTTTATGGAACCTTTTTAGGAGATTATTAGGGACTCTGCTTACTTGGCTGTATTGTTCAAGCTTTAAGCGATCTAAAGTTAATTGTTTAGCTAACCAATATTTAATTTCCCTTTCCCCCTATAGCTTTCACAAAATTGATCACAGTAAATGGACAAGAATATCATCTTCAACTTGTAGACACAGCTGGGCAAGTAAGTATCTCTCGTCTCTTTCTCTCCCTCGGTGCTGGCCCAGGCACTGACTACACAGCAGCAAGTCCAGGAACTTCAGCCAGCTACTGAGTCTTCCTTAAGTCACTTGTAGCTGTTTTTTCAAGTAATTAACTTGGTTTCCTACTTTAGAATTGTTTTAAATATATTCATAGCATTGAGAAGGTTAATGCTTACTACAGGAGAGGCGCCTGTTTTCTAAACTTAATGCAGACTCACGTCAGTGCTTTTTCTCCCTTTGTGATGAGTGATCCCTCCATTAAGAACAAAAGTAAGTCTTCCCGGGGAAAGGCATGAGAGGTACAGAGCAAACCAGCCGGCTCATAAATTGATTATATGATTACAAGTTTGATTTGCTGGACAGAGGTAATTGCTGGGTTAAGTAATTTTAATAAAAACCCGATCTTTTCACAGGTTAATATGGGAACTGGATCTCCAGGGGAACTGACTAGAAGCAAAGGGTGGAAGAAATTAAGAGAACTTGAAGGGAACAAAGAAGCCCCTTTTTGTCGGCTTCACCTCCCTATTGCCATGGCACCCAGGCCAGCCTGTATAGAAGCCATTCTGTTAGCTGGCTTTATTACAGTTCACTGGCGGGTGGGAGGGAGGAGGAGCCGAAATATTGGATTCAGTAAGCCAAGGATGGCTCTGCTCTAAGAAAGCCACGAGGTTTTTATTGTTGGATTCTAACTCCTCACCTTGCATCTTAAGAATGACAAAGGACTGCCTGGCAGGAGGGGGTGTGTGGTGCAATCTAGTCTGCCCAGTGGTTCGTGGAGGCTTTTCCCTGGAACCTGGAGAAGTTGGGGTCGTCCTGTCTTGTTTGGAATCAACTGCCTCTGCTTTATGCTTTGATGTGAACATAGAAGGAAAGCGTAGCCCCAAGTGAGGCAAGAAAGTATCTCATTTCAGCACTGGAGGAACCCTGGAGTTTCAGTTCTGAAGCTTCAAATAAGTTGAACATGTGTGTCCCAGAGCTGTGACATGTGATTGTCATTCCCCTGCACACTCTGCCTGCGGTGGAATGATTGGCTCGCATCTCAGACCTCGTGGTTTTCTTAGAGCAGAGCCATCCTCGGCTTATTGTCCTGGGGCAGAAGGGTCTGGGAGCTGCTGGAAAGGAAGCAAGAGAAGTCGCCAGAAGGGAGTGTGGCACAGGGGCGCAGCCTGTCCTGTAAACTAATGTAGAGGAGACTCGGGTGGGGCCTGGTGTGGGTTTCTTAGGGTTTTTATCTCTTACAGTTAAAGTGACTATAATTTATTGCCTAAAATAAAACACCGTTAAGAGTGAAGGGCACAGATGTAATTATGCTGGGACAGCAGGTGTACCAGAGTTCTGAGCAAAGAAGAATGCCACACTGTTTATAGTGGAGTGGGCATTATCAGGATTTCAGTTTGCCTTTATACCTTTTTTAAAAAAAATATATTTTATTGATTTTTTGCAGAGAGGAAGGGAAAGAGATACAGAGTAGAGAGAAACATCCATGAGAGTCATTAATCAGCTGCCTCTTGCACGCCCCCTACTGGGATGTGCCTGCAACCAAGGTATATGCCCTTGACCGGAATCGAACCGGGACCTTTCAGTCCACAGGCCAACGCTCTATCCACTGAGCCAAACCGGTTTCGGCTATACCTTTTTTTTTTTTTTTTTTTTAATCCTCACCCAAGGATATGGGGTTTTTTTGTTTTGTTTTTTAAGAGTGGGAAGAGGGCGGGGGGGCGGGGGGTAATGTGAGAAACAAACATCGACTGGTTGCCTCCTGTGCCTGCCCTGACCAGGGATCGAACCCTCAATCTTTGTTGCAAAGGATAACACTAAGCAACTGAGCCACCTGGCCAGGGCTGTCTATATCCCTGTTTTGGATTTTCATCTAAGCTCATGGGAATTGGGGCTGAGGTGTAAATTGATCAGTCACATCCCGGTAGCATTCCTGTGGCAACACCCCTCATTGTCAGCCAGGAACACCAGCACTTCCTGGTGCTTTGGAGTGTGGGTTCTACAGTCCCAGTGCCTGGTTCCAGCCCTCGCTGTCCCTACCAGTGGCCTTGAGAAAGTCAGTGAGCTTTTCTGTGTAAGATGGCAGTGATTGTGGTGCGTGCCTTCACAGCATCGCTGTGTGGTTGGAGAGGATTTGGTCCTATTTGTGGATCTGTGATGCTTCTGAGGCCAGACCATGGCCTCACATTGCAACTCAGTGGACATTAACAACTGGGATAGAGAAATGCATGTCTCCTGCTTGGAGAAGAGCTGTCCTTGAAAGCATTTGCCTGGAGAGATCATTTCTCATATTGACTCTCTTGGCCACCGTGGGAGGTGTGTTTCTCTGAGGTTCTTGTTTTGCTCTAAAGCAAAAATGTACACTTGGCCATCACACTCCTGTAACTGTCTTAATGATAGAGCTTTATAGAAATGACCCCAAAAGGAACCCATCTCTGTGAGGGAGTGAGGGAGAGGCCAGAGCAAGGTCCATTTCCAGCTCTGCTTGTCTTGCTGTTTCGGGTTCTGTTATACTGCCACATAAGAATATTTAGAGTATTTTCGCAAAAAAAAAATATATCCAAATTTAGCTACTTGGAATATTTTGTTCTCACTGCAGCTAACAGTTCTTAAAGGCTGTATTCATGACTAGGAGACTAGGAAATAAAATACTATGCTAGTATTACCACTCATGATGGTGTGACATGGACATTACCTGCTGCGGCCCCCCCTGGTTCTGTAAAACTGGATGGGGTAACAGGTCACTCGGGCTTATTCTGGGGTTAGACTAGGAGGAGGGAAAGGTGAGTGGGGGGCAAATTCTTTAAAAGTAACCTAGTCAGCTTGTTCACTAGCTTGGGCTTTTTAGGAGGAAAAATAATTACACATAGTAAATTGCTGCATAGCAATACCTGACAGCAGTTGCTGTCTATGGTAGTTTGTTTTATAGCTGATGTCATTGTCCAGCGAGGGATGATGGTGAACATAGTTAAATACAAATGGATTATTTTTAGTTTGCATGAAATATTTTGTTTTGGTCTAATTTCAGTAGATTTAATGACAAGTGAATCCATGACAGTAAGATTTATAATGTCAAATTCCTCTTCAAAAAACAAATTAAGTGTATTTTTTTTAAATAGTAATAAGTGCACCTGTTATATTGGGTAGAAATAAAGCAACACAAAAAGGCAAATAGTAAGGCTTAAGTCTTTCCCACTCTACTAGCTACCTTAAATTTACCCCTAACCGCAGTCCTGTTACCAGTTTCTAGTAATTGCTTCCAAGAAATTTTATCACCAACATTCAAGTATAGTTTTAAGGTTTTTATTTGTTTGTTTGTTTTTATCTCAAAAAGTAACATCGATCTATGTCTCCATCTTGGAGATCATCCCGTATCAGAACATGCAGCCTCTCTCTTTTCCCGGGGCTGCACAGTGTCCTGTTATTTGGGCTGTGTCATCATTTAACTCTTGGTCCACAAGGGGTTGTTTCCAGGCTCTCCCACCATTAGTGCTCCGTTATACACCGCTGTTTTCGACAGATGGTGTGCGTGTAAGAACATGCCTGGTGTGGGATTGTGGGCCATAGGGTCATGGTTTATATTCTCACCAGCAGTGAGTCACTAACACAGTGTGTTACCAAATTTTTTATATCTATCCATCTGCTAATTGAAAATTATAAGTAACTGTCATTTTAATTAGTGTTTATGAAGGGGTCTTCATGATTTAAAGAAAATTAGTAATTTGTACATGAACTGAGTGGCAAGGTTTTGGTTTCCATTTAAATTCTCTGGTCTAGCCGAAACCGGTTTGGCTCAGTGGTAGAGCATCGGTCTACAGACTGAAAGGTCCTGGGTTTGATTCCGGTCCAGGGCATGTACATTGGTTGCGGGCACATCCCCAGTAGGGGGTGTGCAAGAGGCAGCTGATCGATGTTTCTCTCATCGACGTTTCTAGCTCTCTATCTCTCTCCCTTCCTCTCCGTAAAATATCAATAAAATATATTAATAAATAAATAAATAGATTCTCTGGTCTACCATGCATAGTTTCAATTTTCATCTTTAAGTCTGATTCCTCTGGAATACATGTTTGCTGAGGTGTGAGTTAGACATAAGTTTAGCCATTTACCCCAGATGGCTCCACATTTGTTCCCTATGTGCTACTTTGTATCCTTACTGATTTGAATGCCAACATTATCATTTACCTAACTCCCATATCTGTTGGCTCCATTCATGAGCCAGCACTGCGCTATTTTAATTACTGAAGCTCTACGGATCCCACCCACCTGCCTCCGCAGTTGGTTTTCTTTGTCAGGAAGCATGCTTTTTGCCCTGGCCCACGTGACTCAGTGGTTAGAGTGTGGGCCCAAGCACCAGGGGGACTCAGGTTCCAATCCCTGGCTCTGGCTAGAGCATGTGTGGGAGGTAACCTATTGATGTGTCTCTCCTACGTCATTGTTCCTACCTTTCTCCTCCCCTTTCCCATCCACTCTTTCTAAAAATAAATGGAGAAAATATTCTCAGGTGAGGATTAACAACAACAAAAGTATGCTTTTTGTCCAGCGTCATTTATTTATAATATATTAATTTATATTAATTTATTAGTTTATATATTAATTTAGGGTAATTATATAATTTAGGTTTAATCAGTAGATATCCTTACAATTCTGCTTATTCTTGTTAAAGACAGCCATACTCGCTGTTCTATTTATTTAAATCATTTATCTCAGGAGTATTTTAAGATTTTCTTTAAATGAAGCATATATTTTGTTTCCTTCAGTTTACCCTTGGAATTTTGTTCTTTTTGGTTACTGCTGCAGCAGAAGGTCTTGTTCTTCCATTAAACTTTCTAACTAGTTGATGCTTGCACCAACTTAAATAGGAATACTCTTTTTTTTCTTTTTCTTTTTTTACTTCTTTCTTCAGAGGAAACATAATTTGAACTTTGAGCCACTGTAGCTAAGCTGGTGACTAAAATCGTTTGGAATTTTGTTTTTAATCTGGGTAGAAAGATCTGTCATTCCATTAACAATTTGTTTTTAAAAATCAACACTAAGCCCAGCTGGAGCGTTGGGTTGGTTGAGCATTGTCCCATGTACTAAGAGGTCACTGGTTTGATGCCTAGTCTGGGCGCATGCATGCGCAGGTTATGGGCTCGACCCCCAGAACAGGGTGTTATAGGAGGCAGCTGATCTATGTTTCTCTCCCGCACTCTTCCTTCCTCTCTCTCTAAAATCAATAAAAACATTTTTTAAAGCAACATAAATTCAACTTAATAAAAGTACTAATAAGGAAAACAAAGGTTTTATTTTGCATAAGTAGTAAGCTCTGTGATGTAGAAATGCTATTTTCTGATTAATGGCCACTATTTTTTATGTTGGAGAGTTGTAGGACAACTAAATTTTTCTCTTTTTTTTTTCTTCTTTTTTTTTTTAATCAATCTTTATTGTTCATATTATTACAAAGGTTCCTCATTTCTTCCCCCTTCCACCAGGTTCCCACCCCATCCTCCGCCCCTTCCCCCACCCCCCATCGTCCTCATCCATAGGTGCACAGTTTATGTTCAGTCTCTTCCTCCCTCCCTTCCCCCCCCCAGAACAGTCAGTCCACTCCCCTCCCATATCACCAACTCTACTACAATGAATCGCTATTATTGTTAATCAGGTTTTTCAATCTCCTTTTTTTTTTTTTTTAATTAATAAACTTTTACACTTCTAAGAATAAATTTTAAAATCTAATAATTTTAAACCTTATTTTTTTCTGCCCTGGGAATTGAGAGCAAACTTGTTTACCTTTAAACTTGCCCTTAGGCTATCAGAAGGTGTAGCCATTCAAGTATAAATGGACACGTTGTTTAAACATAGCTGCTTGTTGGAATTGGATTACCTGTTCTGGGTGGGAAGGCCTTGTCATTCCCTTTCTCCATTAGAATTAAGGTGTTAGCTTTAAAACCTCTTTTTGGCAAGACACTTTACCATAGGGCAGAAATTCAAGGTTGTCATGGACACTAGTTGTAACCATACTATGGAATTGCAAACTTTACAGAGACAGTTACTTGATATAATAGTGACTTGCCTTGGTTTTTCTCTAATAGTGCTTAGTATGTGTGGTATGTGGACAGTTCTGTTTCAACTGAGAGTGACATGTTGGTCCCGGGCAGAGGTATGCACTGATGACATTAGCCTCTCTGTGCTTTGGTGATTCCGGATCTAAAGCAGTCTCATAACGCCTCCTCTAAAACTGGGTGCTAGTACCCTGTTGCACAGTGTGTACCTTTGTCCCTAAAGCTGCTCAGTAAATAACTCATTCCATCCTCAAATGTGTGGGTACTCACTCTATAGTTTCTCCATTCTCTTCTCCTCCTCTCTGTCACCCAGCCAGCATGCCTGGTCATGATTTATGGGGCCCTCTCATAGTGGACCCATGCCAGAGGAAGTTGCAGCCTCAACCCAATGCCCAGCCTCCTCACCCTTGGGCTGTGAGCACTGAAGGGGGCTGTACAGTATAGAAAGCAGAGTGCTCCCCAGCTGATGGCACTGATGGAACGAGCATGCATCTGCTCCAGGAGCAGAAGCTCATAACCATGGAGCCTGTTTCAAAACCCAGTGACCAGTGCTCAGACCACTGTGACCATGCAGAAAACAGGGCAAGTGGCAAAATAACCATTTCATGTAGGAAAGTACAGATGTGTGGAATAAACCAGTAACACTTGTGACTTTTCTCTGAGGTCTAAGAGATTCTGGACTTTCCATCCATAAAAGAGAACACAAACCAGCCATCTTTTCATGCCTTACATCCTCTTCTCCCAAGATTTACGGGAGTCATTTTTTAATATTGGCTTAAAGCACATAATCACCCCAGACCAGTTTTAAATAAATCTTGAGTGTATGGACTGTGTTTCTAGAATAATATTGTAATCCACATTTTGTTTACTTTGATTTCTTTGACCAGGAAATATGTGAAGGACTTTGGGTGAAGATTGCTTGTTATGCCAAGTGTAATCCTTTTTCTTCCACAGGATGAATATTCCATCTTTCCCCAGACATACTCCATAGATATTAATGGTTATATTCTCGTGTATTCTGTGACATCGATCAAAAGGTAAGACTCAGCTCCTTCCTTGCTTGAGTTGATTTGCTATGCAGAGATAGCAGTAATCCTTATAGAGGATTATGCTGGAATTGGTAGTAGCAGTTAGACTTAGTTATTAAGCTAAATGTTTTTGGAACAAACAGGTTGTTAAAGGAAAAACAATATCCTGATAGTTGTTCTAGATAGATAGTGACTGAACACAGTCTGAGCTTATCTGCCAGTTTAAATTGATTACTTTTCCTGTGTTTTCATCATGTAAATGTGGAACATGGGCTGACTGCTGTGGCCCTCTAGCTAAGGAATATTCTACAAATGTTTATTCAGAGATTATGTGGTTTGTCAGCTCAGTGTTAGACTTTTCCCATTAAATGTCAGACCTGTTTCATTTTGAATGTTCTCAATTGGGGTACTGAGTGTCAAATACATGTACATGTGAAATATTAGTAGGAAAAAGAAAGGAATTCTTTGTGTTCTGTTTATTTTATTAAAATGGTGAGTCTGCCGAAACTGGTTTGGCTCAGTGGTAGAGCGTCGTCTGCGGACTGAAAGGTCCCAGGTTCAATTCCGGTCAAGGGCATGTACCTTGGTTGTGGGCACATCCCCGGTAGGGAGTGTGCAAGAGGCAGCTGGTCAATGTTTCTTTCTCATTGACATTTCTAGCTCTCTATCTCTCTCCCTTCCTCTCTGTAAAAAAAAATCAATAAAAAATATATTAAAATAAAAAAATAAAATGGTGAGTCTGACATTTTCTGTTTCTCATTAAAACATTTTAAACCTGAACACTAAATTGGATGTCTGCTGGTTTGGCTCAGTGGATAAAGCGTTGGCCTGCAGACTGAAGGGTCCCAGATTCATTTCCAGTCAAGGACACATGCCTGGGTTGCGGGCTTAATCACTAGTGGGGGGCAAACAGGAGGCAGCCAATCAATGATTCTCTCTCATCATTGATGTTTCTATCTCTCCTCCCTTTCTCTCTGAAATCAATAAAAGAAGTATTTTAAAAATTTTAAGTTGGATGTCTGACTTCATGTTTTTCCTTTTATAGTTTTGAGGTGATTAAAGTTATTCATGGCAAGTTGTTGGACATGGTGGGGAAAGTGCAGTAAGTAGGAACGTTTCTCTCTCGTTAGATTCACTCTTTTCTAATAGCTCCTTCTGGACAAACTGACTTTGCTTTTCTTATGTTAACAGAATACCTATTATGTTGGTTGGGAATAAGAAAGACCTGCATATGGAAAGGTATGTAGCTTCTAATAATTGCTGATTCATAGAATTGAGTCTGAGATATTTAGTTCTGGAAGTCAGGGTTTTGTTGTTCGCCAGTGAGGTGCACAGTGCTGCTTTGGAGAAGCCAACTCACCTGCCTTGGAAATGTTTCCTGGATAAGGGGGAGAGCAAACACTGTAGAAAATTATCTTCATCTCTTCTACCATTTGTGTAAAGCGGACACTAAAAAGACAAAGCGCATTCATTTATTCAACAAATTATTTTTTGAGGCAGGGTGAGGATTAGAGCAGTGGCCCCACCCTCTAGATTTTGATTCTGGTGGCAGAAGACGCAGGCTGGATGCCAGCAGCCTGTGTGTAGCATAGCCAGGGCCCTTTGGGGGTTGCCCTGTCCTCGGGCACGTGCAGCTCTCTAAGATGTTGGGGTGTTGGGAAATGCCTTCTGTGAGCTGTGAGGGCTGCCGGAGCGTGAGTGCTCCCACAAGACAGTGTCTGATGTTCCCCGGCTCGGGTGGGAGTGATGCATGGTCATGATTTATGGGGGGCCCTTCCCTGTGGGCCTTTCATAGTGGACCCATGCCAGAGGAAGTTGCAGCCTCAAACCAATGCCCAGCCTCCTCACCCTTGGGCTGTGAGCACTGAAGGGGGCTGTACAGTATAGAAAGCAGAATGCTCCCCAGCTGATGGCACTGATGGAACAGAGCATGCATCTGCTCCAGGAGCAGAAGCTCATAACCATGAAGCCTGTTTCAAAACCCAGGTAGATGTGTTATATAAAGAGCAATGCTCTTTAATGAGAGTTTTTTATCCTTTAGGGTGATCAGTTATGAAGAAGGGAAGGCGTTAGCAGAATCTTGGAATGCAGCTTTTTTGGAATCTTCTGCTAAAGAGAACCAAGTAGGTATTTTTTAAAACTCACTTTGCACTGCATCCAATCAGACCAGGCCTGTGTTCCTCTAGCTCAGCACTCCTGTGAATCCTGACCCTCCCACCATTCCTCCCACCAGGCTTTGGGTTACCTCAGGGGGACACCGTCTGTTTTATTTCAGCCAGTGTTCAACCTCGTTGGGCTGGAATGTTTGTAGGATAAACAGAAATTGATTGTAAAGGAAATACTACCTTTGTGAACATGCATTATTGAGTTTGTTTTATACTAAAGGCTGCTGCAGAGGTCAGTCTGGACTCGCCTGGTGGGGAGAGGCGGCCGTGTGCATGACCCAGTGTAGTAGACTCAGGTCTGCTTGAGGAGAGACAGATGTTCTGGATGAGTCTGTGCACCTAAGTTCCTCACGTCCAAGGCATTTTTGGCTAGTTGGCAACTTACTTCCAAATGGGATGGGAGGATGGACAGAGAAAAAGAACAAATACATACAGCAAAGATGTTAACATTTGCTGAGTCCAGACAGTGAGGCTAGGTACAGCTCTTTCTGTTGTTCTGTATAATTGAAAAGTTGTGAGGTGGGAGTGAAGTTGAATGGTTGGCCTCAAGCTATGTTCAATTCTGTTTGCTGACTTCACTGTGCTTGCTTCTCTTCGGTGAGAATCTGAGGACTTAAAGCAGTTGTTCTGTCTGACGTTAGAGTAAGGAGGCATCAGCAGAGTGTGGACTATTCATGACATTGTTCACTGTATTGCTCTTCTTGTGTATCTGGAAGTTGCTGTTCCTTCTAGCAACCTCAGGAGTGTAAATGCCTCGTGGAGCCTACCTTCAGCGGTTAGCAGGATTGCTGGTGAGGGGCATTGGCTCAGGTTAATTTACGTTTCTGAGAGTATAATAACTTGAATGTTAGCTTAACGAGTGTTACTTGGTCTCAGGGTACAAGGCCTTTTCTCCAGTTTATGTTGCACTTTACGGTAGCTGAAGGGTTAAATGTGGTTCTAAATAGGTTTGCCCATTCATCTTTCTGTTCCTGTAGAATAGGGGTGTCGAACTCAATCAGAGAAGGGGCCAAAATCTAAAATCTAGCCTAAATCACGGGCCGAATGGTTTACTGAACAGTCATAAACTGTCATTGTGATGGAAACGCAGCGGAGTGCAGTGATGACAGCGCGGTGCGGGCCACATTGCAAGGCCTGGCGGGGCGGATTTGGCCCGCGGGCCTTGTGTTTGACACATGTGCTGTAGAAGGTGGCTTACTGCTTCCGAAGACCCAGCTGAAAGGTGAAGGTGCTGCCGATATGGGCAGGCAAGCGCTGAGTCAGGTGTTCCACGGCTCACTGTCTGGGCTGCTCTCACCATCACCGTCAGGCCTGACGTGAACCCTCTAGAGCAGTGGTTCTCGGCCCTTTAACACGGCTCCTCACGTTGTGGTGACCCCAATCATAAAATTATCTTCATTGCTTCTTCATAACTGGAATGTTGCTACTGTTATGAATCGTAATGTAAATATCTGTGTTTTCCAATGGTCTTAAGCTCTACAGCAGACCCATAGGTTGAGAGCTGCTAGCGGGATCGCCTAAGACCATCAGAAAACCAGATATTTACATTATGATTCATAACAGTAGAAAATTACAGTTAGGAAGTAGCAATGAAAATAATGTGATGGTTGGGGATCACAACATGAGGAACTGGTAGTGGAAGTTGCTGCGTCTGTGAGATGCTGCATTTAACTGTAATGGAGTCCAGGCCGTTTGCAGTTGGTTTATTACCATGGAGGCCTTTCGGCTGTTGTTCAGCAATTTAATGAGAGAGAGTATTTTCTGCTGAGACTGGTTTGGCTCAGTGAATAGAGCGTTGGCCTGTGGAATGAAGGGTCCCGGGTTCGATTCCGGTCAAGAGCATGTACCTTGGTTGCAGGCACATCCCCAGTGGGGGGCGTGCAGGAGGCAGCTGATCGATGACTCTCTCTCATTGATGTTTCTAACTCTATCTCTCTCCCTTCCTCTCTGTAAAAAATCAATAAAATATTTTTTTTTAAAAAAGAGAGAGAGAGAATATTTTCTAACAATCAGACCACATGGATTGTTTAGTTGTAAGATTTATCTAGAAAGCCCAGTCCCGGGCACACTATTTTCTTGGTAAGAGTGTGGTGAGTATAATTCCAAACATTTTTCTGTGCATTATTTTCAGAATAAAAAATAACTTGTTTGTATAACCATGGGACATGAAAGGATTAGTAATGAGGAAGAGGGACAGTTGCTGAACCAGTGACTCAGTGAGACAGGAGGGCTAGGCCTGGGCTGGCTTTGGCTTATACCAGGAGTCCTGCTTCCTCCCAGTGGGAGAGAGAGGACCAGAGGAGGTGAGCCAGATTCAGGGGTAGGTTGAGTCCATGGAGAGAGTACATGGTGGCCTCTCTGAATGCCGGTTCTGTTTTCCTGGTGAAATATAAAACTGGGTGGCCAAGGAATGGGGAGGCTTTAGAAATTCAGGTGAAAGGGAAGACACGGAACCTTCATCTGAGGGAATGACTGGACGAGGGAAATGAGCTGGGCTGCTGAGTGGCACCGAGGGTGCACTGCATTCAGAGTCTGGAGGTGACAGCTGTCGCAGTGTGTTCCCAGGTTGCATTGGGGCTATTGGCAAAGAGGGAATTCACGTCCATGATGGTGGACCGTGGAATCTGCTGGCCCCAGGAGGAAAGCGAACAAGAAATGGTTAAGGGACAGGGAGAAGGTGGTCAGAGCGGGGAGGCAGGTCCCTGTGGGACCCAGGATTGCTGAGGTGAACTATTATTGAAAGTGGAAAGGAAGGTGAGGTGGTGGGAGACTTGACATTGTGGTGACAAGATCTAGGACTGCCCCGAGGCTTTGGAGAGCAAGGGTGCTCTTTCCTCATCACGGTGAGCACACGTACAGGACAGTGAGCACGCTTACAGGACGGGGCCTGGCGGTCCGGACGCTGTGCAGCCTAAGGGAGGGTTTCCTGTCCAAAGTGGCAGTGCTCCTGGGAGGAGGCCAGGGTACTGGGTCTGCAGACAGAGAAGGAAGGGGAAGTGGCTCCGAAGAATCACGTTCAATGGTGAAAAATACTGTCTCATGGCATAAGAGTCAGCACAGAGGCGTGGGGGAGTGGGCGGAAGGCAGGTTCGGAGGAAGGGCAGTGAGAGGAGTTTGCCCGCCCGAGGCCCCGGGGTGCGGGGAGGGAGCCTGGCCCTGGGAGGAGTGTCTGAGGGAAGGGCAGCCCTCGGGGGAGCAGAAGGAGGGGCTGGAGCGGACAGCTCCCTGTGGTGGCCTGTGGAGCAGGGTCAGCAGCCTGAGAGGAGACTAGCTCTGGTCTCCGGGGCCTGGGGTGACCTTGGCCGCCATGCCTGTGCCTGCAGCTGGGGGGCGGATGGTGGCCTTCTCCAGTCCTGGCAGCCGCCGTGAGAGTGTGTCTCAGGCTTCCGCTGTAAAGCCAGCTCAGTCACGTTTTCTTCCTTCCTCAGACTGCTGTGGATGTCTTCAGGAGGATAATTTTGGAGGCAGAAAAAATTGATGGGGCCGCTTCACAAGGAAAGTCTTCCTGCTCGGTGATGTAATCCACTGCAGGACCGAGGCCCCCAGACCCATCCTGCCTGGAGAGCAAACTGCCCGTCATCCTCGAAGATAAACTCCGCTTCGTTTTCCTCTGTTAACCTGGGAGATTTGTTTGGGTCAGAGCCTTTCCCACCTCCCCCTTCAGATTATGTTGAACTCTGACTGTCCTGAGTTCACGTCCACTTTCAAATTTTAAGCAATCATATTTTCAATTTATATATTGTATTTCTTAATAATATTATGACCAAGAATTTTATCGGCATTAATTTTTAAGTGTAGTTTGATGTTTAAAATAATGTAATCATCAAAGATGCATATTGTTACACTACTATTAACTAGGCTTCCATATATCAGTGTTTATTTCATTGTGTTAAATGTATACTTGTAAATAAAATAGCTGCAAACCTTAATCCCTCGTGCTACTTAGTGTGGCTTTTACAGAAGAAAACCTTGTCCAGTGAGGGCTTCTTCCTGGCCCCAGGAAGGTTCGGGCTGGATTCCAGGAAATGGGGGGGGGGGGCGAGGGGGGACATGGCCACAGGTGGCCAGTGGGGCCCTCGGATCACCGGCAGGCCCACTGGATGGCAGTGGCAGGGGGTAGACTGCCAGCATTGGGGAGGGAACTCTGCTCACTAAAGCCCAGTGGCCCTGGGGTCTGTGAGGGAGGCACTCCCAATATGGCTGTTCTCTCCACCATCCCGGCCTTTACTGGAGGGCTTCCTGTAGGGGGTGCTGTGGCAATTACTTGGCAAAGCCTTCTCACCCTCCTGCTTATCTCAGCTGCAGAAGGAAAGATGTTAGAGACACTGTCCTTCCTTTAAAAAAAAATATTGATTTCAGAGAGAAACATCAGTGATGAGAGAGAATCATCGATTGGCTGCCTCCTGCATGCCCCCAAGGGGGTATCAAGCCTGCAACCCAGGCATGTGCCCTTGACCAGAATCGAACCTGGGACCCTTCAGTATGCAAGCCAGCGCTCTATCCACTGAGCCAAACTGGCTAGGGCTATTGTCCTTCCTTATGCTTAGCTTGATATCCATGGCATACGGGATCTGATTTACTTTAAGTAATTTTTATTTTTCATTTACGGTTGATACAAATTATTATGGTGATTCCAGGTGTCCACCCAGTGACTGACCATTACATAACTTACTAAGTGATCACCCGCCCGGTAACTCTCGCACCCCTCTGTCACCACACAGGTTTATTAGAATACTATTGGCTCTAGTCCTGATGTACTTTACGTCCCATGCAGACAGCATCTGACTTAGAGCATAGATTTGCCTAAAACCATCCCAATCCTCCGGTAGTTTAAAGGATGGGGACTATTGCCCAATAAGGGGGGGGGGGGGCTTCCTGAACCTACTCTAGGCCCAGCCCACACCTGCCGGCTCTGCAGGCACAGCTGGAGCAGAGCGAGGTCTGCTGTGGCAGCTCCTGCTTGCTCACTGGAGTCAGTTCCAGTCCAGTGTGTGTTAAATGCTGCCCCATCCCAGTTAAATTGCACAGGGCCATTTCTATCATTAGGAAATGGTACCACTAATAAAATGTATTTTTGCTTTGTGACTAATTTTTTAATGAAAATTTTTTAGAATATGCCATTTTGGATCTTTTAAATATTTGTCTCGTCATTCCAGGATGAAATTTGAGCTTTAAGAGACTTCCACCAAATACTTTTTAAATAAAATAAATTTTGACAATATGGTATCATGACTTGTTAACAGGGCTGTTCGTAGGCCTGGAGTTAGACTCGGTGCTCAGGGTGTGGCCCACGTTAACTCCGGGCCGGGTCCCTGCCAGCCTTCTCGGCAGCTGTCTGTGGGCGTGCACCTCGATGGCACATGCACCTGGAAACAGTTTACTGCACGGGGAGGCCTACAGGGCTGGTCTGGGCAGCAGCGTGATGCCCTGTATATGTACTGTTCACAGTTTTCTGAGCACCTACTATGTGCTGGACACTTCTAAGTGCCATAAACAACAGAAATCTGAACCCTTGTAGAGCTTGCATCTGACCTCAGACCTGGGGACATGGGAGCAGGTTCCTCCCTGACCCTGCGCAACTACGCCCACTGTTGGGTCCGAGCCCCTCTCCTAGGACGACCTCAACAGAGAAGACATGAGAAGTCGTAGGTATATAAGACTGTCTTCATTGTAGCCAAGTAGCCATTAGACAACATACAATAGTTCTTCAAAGGAGTCACACATGAGCCATACCAAGCAGCCGCTGTACACATAGCAGCCAGACCTAAAAGCAGCCTCCATAGGAGCTATACAAACAGCCTGACCAAGCAGCCAGGCACCGGTGGCCAGTAGTACGTCTTCCCATAACGCAGCCCTGTACTGGCTGGTCAGTGGCAACTTACATACAAGCGTGAACAAGCTCAAACAAAAGAAGCGCCACACCAAGCAGTTTGGGATCCAGAAAGACCCGCCTGCACAGTGCCTGGATTGTTGTGCCCTTGCTTTTGCACCTGCGCATAGCAACGTAGCCTTGAACACCTGATTAGGATTCCCACGCTCAGATTGGCCTTGAGCATCTGGCGTACTCTGACCAGGGTTCCCACAGGACACGGCAGGGCAGGTCCAACCCTGCTCCCCAGGGCAGCGGTCCGACACCAGGCCGTTGGTTCACTCCCTGACGGGCAGCTTGTTACGGTTCCGAGGGGCATGTGGCTCAGGACTTCCTGTGATGGAGCGCTCATCCCCCCAATGGTGGGGGTGGGGGGACACTGCACTGGCCACGGTCGTAATTGGCCAAGATCAACCAAATGCATTCTGTGTCCGCCATGCTAACCCATTATCTGAGCTGAAGAAATTCTTACAACGGCCAGGTTCCACTTAAATGTTTTGTTATTCTGTATTTCATCACTTCTGAGACTTTTTTTTTTTTTACATTTTAACAGTTTTGAAATCGAAATGAGTCTAAAATCAGTGACAAAGCATTATGTCATAAAAGCTAATGTGGTCTTAAGATTTATGCAAGTATTTTAAGTGCAAATATTTGTATCTCCTATCCTCACCTCTGTGGATTCCAGACTTACCTTGTCTTAATGCCTCAGAGGGTCTCAAATCCTATCTAATAAAAGAGTAATATGCAAATTAACTCACTCCATCACAAATATGGTGGTGCCCATAGCCACAAGATGGTGGCACCCAGTACCACCGGAGTCCCCCAGTCCCAGGGGGCAGCCGCTGAAAGCGGGCAGCATGAGTGACCTGGCGGAATGCTTGCTTCGTAGCCGCAGTGACAAGGCAAGCATTCCGCACCCGAGGAGAGAGCCTCCTGGCCAGGCCGGGCACAGACAGGAGGAGCAGCCCTGCAGGCACCTGGCCGGCCTCAGCCCTTGGCAGGTCATGGAGCCCCAAGTGCTGCCAGACAATCGCCTTGCCTGTGCGTTCAGAGAGGGGTCTATGGCACAGCCTTCCTCTGAGTCTCCTGCTGCTGAAGAGGCTGGAGGTCCCGGTGACGCAATTCAGAAACCATACACACAGGGGAAAGCCCGTAATGCCCCTGCCTCATGGTCGCCTTTTGGGGAGGACCCTACCTTTCACGGCCACCCGGCTTCTCTTCCCACCTGGGAGGGTCACATGCTCACCTGCCAGGGTGGGAGCTCTCAGGAGCACCCAGCATATAGAGGGCCTCTCACTCCTGCTTTCCCCTCCCGCTGTGTGCCAGCCTCGCGGGCGGCTCTGCCTGCCCACACTGAGTGACTAACAAGACATCAGCCCAGGGCCTGCACAGCCCGGGGCTAGGCCCCTGTGAACGACCAGTATGCCTGACATACTGGCCGAGGATGCTGGGAGGTCAGGGGTCAAAAGGACCCACATGAAACAGCTGCGGTAAAGGAGCCAGCCTCCTGCCAGCAGATGGCATGACAGAGGCAGGACACGTCCTGGAAATGTGCTGGGAAGGGCTTGGGAAGTTACAGTCTAGAACCAGTCCCTGCCAGTCATTGCTCCTGAGGCATAGCTGCCAACTCTCTTGAATTTGTGTCCTTTCCCTCGGCACACACATGCACACACATCTGTGAGATAGATAGATAGATAGATAGATGATAGTTAAATATAGACAGATGATAGATGATAGATAGATAATAGATAGATAGATGATAGTTAAATATAGATAGATGATAGATGATAGATAGATAGATATAGATAATAGATTAGATAGATAGATAGATGACAGATAGATAGATAGATATATGATAGTTAAATATAGACAGATGATAGATGATAGATAGATAATAGATAGATATATGATAGTTAAATATAGATAGATGATAGATGATAAATAGATAGATAGATATAGATAATAGATAGATATAGATAATAGATTAGATAGATAGATAGATGACAGATAGATAGATAGATATATGATAGTTAAATATAGACAGATGATAGATGATAGATAGATAATAGATAGATATATGATAGTTAAATATAGATAGATGATAGATGATAAATAGATAGATAGATATAGATAATAGATATAGATAATAGATTAGATAGATGATAGATGATAGGTAGATAGATGATAGTTAGATAGGTAGATAGATGATAGGTAGGTAGATAGATAGATAGGTAGATAGATGATAGATGATAGGTAGATAGATAGATAGATAGATAGGTAGATGATAGGTAGATAGATAGATAGGTAGGTAGATAGATAGATGATAGGTAGATAGGTAGATAGATAGGTAATGACACACACACACATCTTGCCTTTTTCCACATATGCAGCTCAGACACCTGCAGGGAATCACCAGGTGCTATTCCATAGGCTCCCGGTAGTTGGCATTTCCTACTGAATGGAGTTGGGGGTAGAATTTATGATGTAACTGAACCAATTGCATGCAATGACAGTGGATGTTCTGTCTGGTGGCCTGGCTGTCCTGGCAGCAGCATTGGCCAGGCGTGGAACACTTGCATCATTGCCTGGTGACAGGGCAGGTGTTCTGCACCCAGCCATGGAGGCTGGGGAAGGCAGTTGGGGGCTATGAGGCCAGCAGGGGAGGGCATTTGGGGTGATCAGGTCAGCAGGGGGGCAGTTGGGGGCAAGCAGGCTGGCAGGCAGAGTGGTTAGGGGTGATTGGGCAGACAGGCAGGTGAGCAGATAGGAGCCAGCAGTCCCAAATTGCGAGAGAGATGTCCGACTGCTGGTTTAAGCCCAATCCCACAGGGACATCCCCCAGCAATTGGACATCCCCCAAGGGGTCCCAGATTGGAGAGGGTGCAGGCCAGGCTGAGGGACACTCCCATGCCTATGGTGGGGTCTCTTTTCTGTGTTCAGCACGGAAAGAGAATGATTCAGTTCTCTGAGTATAGGGGCTGGGGATTGAGAAATAGAAGACAGAGGCACAGGGAGAGAAGGAAAAAGCTGGGACCGGGTGGACTGCTGTCCTCTCCTGATGGAGAGACAGTGGCCCAGAGCCGATGCAACATGTTTATTTTATACCCCAACTATCAGGAAGTTTCACCAAAACTTGGGCTCGAGCATTCCTGGTGCTAGACTGGATTTACATATCAAAACCCACTCCCCGACATGTGGGCAAAGATAAGAGTCAATGCTGAGAACACATCTGCCTTTTTGATAAGATGTGTATCCAAGACGTGGCTCAGCTGACAGTTATTAAGGAAGAATGCCCAGGCGCTCTCCACACCCCTCCCCCCATGCATGAATTTTGTGCACTGGGCCACTAGTTTATTGTGAAATTGAATTCTTGATTTTCCTCGAAAACCTGGGCCTCTCCTGGATCCTGTTTTGGGAAAACAACATGGCCCACCAGTTACTAAAGCCAGGGATTTGGGGCCATTCTCTACCTCTTTCTTACACACCTCCAGTCCATCCAGTCCAGTAAAGGCTCAGGCCCTGCCTTCCGAACCAAGCTTGCATCCTCCCACTTCCTCCATCTCCACTGCACGCTGGTCTGTCCTAGCACACACCCTCCAAAGTACTTACAAGTCAACTTGTTTAAAGCGCAGTCTTGTGTTACTCCCTGGCTTAGAGTCCTTTAACCAGGTCCCAAGCCGAGCTGCCTCTCCTCGAGGCCCAGCCTGAGCTACGTGCTGCCTAACTCAACCTCCCTGCAGCGAGGCCAGGCTGCATCACCCTGGGCCCAGGTGCTTCCCAGGGAAAAGCTCTTCCCCTGACACCTCCGTGCTGCTGGCCCTCTGCGCAGGCTGCCCCTTCCCAAGGCTTCTCCTCCTCGGGGCTCCACATGGACTCCGCTCCATGCACCTGTCAGAGCCTGAGGTTTATCATACAGCACAGCACGTGTCAGTTTGGGTCCTTGTATTGTGTGTACTGAGTATTACTGGACTAGATGTGACCACAGCAGAGATGGTGACCTATCGGTGTGTCTCCAACACCTTTGGTTCCCCAGCTCCTAGCACAGGGCCTGTGACTATTGTAGAGATTTCCAGAATACCATTTTAATGTCCTTGTAGTTTCGTATCCCATATAATAAAAGAGGTTATATGCAAATTGACAATCACAAGATGACGCCTATCACCAGGCCGACAGGGGGGTTAGTGAGGGACAACCAAACAACTGAACAAGCACCTGCATGGGGCGGCCAGGCCAGCGGGGGCCTGTGAAGGGGCCATGAGGCAGGCAGGGAGCAACCAGGCCAGCAGAGGGGAGCAATTAGGGCAACCAGGCTGGCAGGGGGGGAGGGGGACAGTTGGGGGCAATTAGGCTGGCAGGGGCGGGGGGGGAACAACCATGCCTCTAGTACATATATATTTTCTATTTTCTTCATGGTTACCCTGGGAATTTACAATTAACAATGCAGTTTGGGTAAATACCATCCCCTGTATATAGTCCCATCCCCTCCACCTCATTTGTTCTATTGTCGTACAAATTATATTTTTATATGTTACATATCCATCAACAGACCTGCTATTGCTTTATGAAGTCTCTTTTTAAATCAAATAGGAGAGGAAATATCACTAAAAAGTACATGTATCCTGTCTTTTAGAGAAATCACCTGTTACTTTTACTGGTGCTCTTTCCTTCACGTGGATTAGAGTTAGTCAAACTTCCATCTCAAACAATTTGGTTCTTGACTAAGTTGTTCACAGAAAAAATGTCTCAGTTGTCCACCAAAACTAAAGTTTTCAACCTGACAACCCTTTCATGCTGAAACATCAACAAGACAAAAAGCATCTCTCAGGTAACAAGCAAAGGAGAGAATGCTTTTGCTGCTGGCAAAATAGATGAGCACAATTTTAAAACATAAAGAGGCCATCAAGAGTGCTGGTGTTGCTAAGGGTGTGGAAGTGCTCACAAAAGAACAAGCACAGGATATTGAATAGGAAAAAAAAAAAAAAAAAAAGACACCTGTTAATGGATAAATGAAAAGCAGTTAGCTGATGACAGCATTTCAGAGGTAGTGATAAGTGAAAAATTCCTTTAAGACCGTTAGAAAGTGGTTCCATCAGATTAAGAAAAGAAGTGTTTATTTATAAATTAAACAGGACATGAGACATGTGCTGTATATAAGAAAGGTTAAAGCAGGGAATCACTTGGGGCTCTGGAATGGATTAATTCACTTTACATCATTTCTAATGGGAAAAATGAGTCCGTTTTCGAATAAATCATTTCTCCAACAGCCTTCTGGAACAGATTAAGTTTGAGAAACGAGGTTCCACTGTAGTGCCTAGTGTTCTTTGATTCAGCCTGAAATATTCCCTTTAGTGTTTCTTATGGAACAAGTGTGCCAGTGGTGACTTCTCTGCCTTCGCTTCCCTTTGTTTTCCAGTCATGTTCTTTTTTTTTAAAATTAAACAAATCTTTATTGTTCAGATTATTACAATTGTTCCTCTTTTTCCTCTCATAGCTCCCCTCCACCCAGTACCCACCCTTCCTCTGCCCTTACCTCCCCCGACATTGTCCTCATCCATAGGTGTATGATTTTTGTCCAGTCTCTTTCCACACACCCCATACTCCTTTCCCCCTGAGAATTGTCAATCCACTCCCTTTCTATGCCCCTGATTCTATTATATTTACCAGTTTATTCTGTTCATCAGATTTTTTATTCACTTGATTTTCAGATTCACTTGTTGATAGATATGTATTTGTTGTTCATAATTTTTATCTTTATCTTCTTCTTCCTCTTCTTAAAGAATATCTTTCAGCATTTCATATAATACTGATTTGGTGTTGATGAACTCCTTTAGCTTTTTCTTATCTGTGAAGCTCTTTATCTGGCCTTCAATTCTGAAGGATAGCTTTGCTGGGTAGAGTAATCTTGGTTGTAGGTTCTTGCTATTCATCACTTTGAATATTTCTTACCACTCCCATCTGGCCTGTAAAGCTTCTGTTGAAAAATAAGCTGACAGTCGTATGTGTGCTCCCTGGTAACTGTTTTTCTCATACTACTTTTAATATTCTCTCTTTGTCTTTTGCTCTTGGCATTTTAATTATGATGTGTCTTGGTGTGGTCCTCTTTGGATTCCTTTTGTTTGGGGTTCTGTGAGCTTCCTGGACCTGTATGTCTATTTCTTTCACCAGGTGGAGGACGTTTGCTGTCATTATTTCTTCAAAAAGGTTTTCAGTATCTTGCTCTCTTTCTTCTTCTGGCACCCCCATAATTCTGATGTTGGTACGCTTAAAGTTGTCCCAGAGGCTCCTTACACTATCTTCATATTTTTGGATTCTTTTTGCTTTTCCGGTTGGGTGTTTTTTGCTTCTTTGTATTTCAAATCTTGATTCAATTCTTGCAATCCTCTAGTCTGCTGTTGGATCTCTGTATAATATATATTTTTTTATTTCAGTCAATGTATGCTTAATTTCTATTTGGTCCTTTTTCATATCCTCAAGTGTCTCGCTAAATTTATCAGCCTTTTCTAGAAAATTCTTGAAAAACCTTATAACCATGGTTTTGAACTCTATATTCAGTCATTTGCTTTCCTCCATTTCTTTCATTTGTGATCTGTTTCTTTGTCTCTTCATTTTGGCTGATTCCCTGTGTTGATAGGTTGGCTTTGTATGCTAGGTGTCCTATAGGGCCCAGTGGCTCAGCCTTCCCAGTTACCTGAGGTGGACACTTTTGGTGCACCCCTTTGTGGACTGTGTGCACAGCCTTGTAGTTAAGTCTTGATTGTTGTTGGTATCACTGGGAGGAATTGACCTCTAGGCCAATTGGCTGTGAGGATCAGCTGTGTCTACGCTGGGAGAACTTCTGTGCTGGAGACACCCTTATGAGACAATACCTGCAAAAGCCTCTGTGCTCAGTTTGGATGGGGCAGAGTCTCAGGGCGGAGCAGACAGCATTGGTTTTCTGTCAGCGCTGCCCTAATAGGCCCTTGGGTCTCAGTGTCCCTCAGTAATCGCTGCAAGCACCTCTGAGAGAAAGCTGCCCTCAAGTTCTGCCCACTGCCAGACAGTTCAGTTTCTCCCCGAATGAGTCTGGGTCCCCAGAGTCTCGCCAGGACCTGGAGGTCAGCACAGTCGGGAGCTTTTGTCTCCCTGCCTTGAGAAAGCCAGCTGTGTGTTCAGTTGCTCTCTCTCTCTCTGTGCTCATCTCAGTACCTCTGCCTCCTGCAGCTCCTCTGAGTCTCAGTGTGCTTTTCTCTTTCCTTTCAGTTGTAGAATTTCCACTCAGCCAGCCTTCTTGTGGTTCTGGATGATGTCCGTTTTGTCTTTTAGTTGTAGTTTTGAAATTGTTGTGTGAGGCAGCAGTTTAGGTATTTATCTATGCTGCCATCTTGGTTTCTCCTGGATGTCAAGTTCTTGGTGGAGGGTTTTCCAGCCCACCTTGCTCAGCCCACCTTTTGACCCACCTTGTTCAGGTCTTTCATGAGCAGGTACATGAGAGGTAGGAGTGTGTTGCTTTTCAGGGCCCACATTGGGAATATCATTTTCCAGCTTTTTCTTGTTTGGTGGAGGGAAGGGAAAAAAGTTTTTTTTCTTCACTTCTTGTTGCTCGCCCCCACCTCCCATCCCCTCCCATATCAAATAAATTGCCATTAATTGTTTTTTACAAATGACTTCAGGGAAAAGGCAAGTCAATTAAAGACAAGCCTTGTGGGTAGGGTTTTCCAGAGAACTGCCAAGCACTGCAAGATTTTGGTATATATATACACATAATTTTTTAATTGATTTTTTACAGAGAGGAAAGAAGAGGGATAGAGAGCCAGAAACATCGATGACAGAGAAACATCAATCATCTGCCTCTTGCACCCTCCCCCCCCCACCCCCCACTGGGAGATGTGCCTGCAACCAAAGTACATGCCCTTGACCAGAATCGGACCTGGGACCTTTCAGTCCGTAGGCGATGCTCTATCCACTGAGCCAAACCGGTTTTAGCTCCATATGATATTTTAAATTGATTTCAGAGAGGAAGGGAGAGAGAACAGAACATCAATGATGAGAGAGAATCATCAATCAGCTGCCTCCTGCACACCCCCTACTGGGGATCAAGCCTGAAACCTGGGCATGTGCACTGACCAGGAATCAAACCATGATCGTCTGGTTCATAGGTCAATGTTCAACCACTGAGCCACACTGACCGGGCATCACTGCAGGTTTTGACAATCCTCAGAGCAAAAGGCTTTGATGCACTCCAATCCCATCTCGACCGTCCCAGGGGCTGCTGAGAAGCCACAGTTTTCTTAAAGACTCCCAGATTGTCCAACCTTTTCATGCTCAGAGTCGTGACCAAGTTGACTTTTGGGGACAGTTTTGCCAGCCTTCTCCCTGGGTCCTCAGGGTCCCCGGGCACTGCTCCCGATGTGGCTCTACGGGGCCTCACAGCAGCTCCTGCCTGTTGAGTGGATGAGTAAATAACCTTTCAATGGGAAGCATTCTGGACACATTCCTTTGAATTAGACCGTGTCCGTGGCAGAGTGGTGAAATTCCCCACAGTTCACAGGGCCCGGACTTCCTGAGTCCTTCACTTCCCGAGTCCACCACCGTGGGCGCAGAACAAGCAGACTGCTGGGGGCCTCCTGCCACTGGCCCTGCAAAGTGCCTGGGACTCAGCTGGCTCCAGTGCTCTGTTACCAGGACCCAGAATGTGCTGTCGCTCCTGGCTTGTTGTCTAAATGAAAACAGGTTTGATCACTGAAACAGGAAATTTTGGGGGGTAAAAAAGACAGGATTTAGGACATTTGAGAAATTAAGGGGACCATGGAGGAAGCACAGAGCTACAGATCTGCAGAAGGTACATTTCCATGGAGTCGGGGAACTGGGAACAGCAAGGTCTATATTTACAAAATAAAGAGAAGGAAGCCCTTCATCCAGGAGAGGAAGGAAGCCCCAAGGGATAGGGAAACAATAAGGGGTGGCGGGTGTGTGTGTGTGTGTGTGTGTGTGTGTGTGTGTGTGTGTAAAGATCCTCACGTCTCATGTGAGATTCAACCTTTGAACCCAGCAGTTACTATAGTAACCAGTCCAAGGAAATAGTGACCAATCAGAGGGGATATCAAGGCACCAGGATCTGCAGCCTTTATAAGCCACAGGGAAAGGAACTCGGACCCTTCCCCCGCCCCACGTGGGAGTCTGTACTTGTTCTTTAATAAATCTCCACCTTTGCTATACCACCCTCTGTCCGTGGATTCATTCTTCGACTCCGACAGACAAAGAATCCGGGTTCCAGTCCAAAAATTCCATTTCACAACCTGGGACAGGTCTGGACTCCCAAGAAACTAGCTTCTGGGGAGCGCAGCCCCAGCTGAGCGGTGTGCAGGCTGCCGCCCGGCTCCCTTGGCCCTGTCGGGGCTGCGCTGTGTCTCCAGGAGCAATGAACTTGCAGAAGGCCTGGCTGCCCTGGCAAGGCCAGCTGAGGCTGCCACCAGGCCGTCCCTGCGGGAAACGCCTCCCCCGGCATTGCTGAGAGCTCCAGCCCCACTCCCTCTCTTCCCCTCCCCCAGAGGGAAAGATCTACATTAGGGGGGAAAAAGTTTACACTGAGCAAAATGTTTGTTGCCTGTCCTAGAATAACCATGGGACGCCTGCTCTGGAGTTGAACTGGGAAGAAGCTGCGGGCATCTGACTTAGCACCCCTGTTTTCAGAGGAGGGGCCTGAGGCCGGAGAGTTACCGACCCGTAGGCCGATGTTCGCACTGCGCAGCGTGGAACACCACCCGTGAGCCTGACCCCGGTTTCCACAGGGAACCCTGAGTGCATGGGGCTTCGGATTAAGACTCAGAACACAGCAGCTGTGGCGCCAGCTCTGCAGCGAACGTGTGTCTTCGGGCAACTCCCTTCAACTCTGGTCTTGATTCCAGGGCCTGAGCGGCCCTCTGCCAGGGGCTGTTGATAACAGTCTGAGAGCCCGGGCCGCCCCAGAGCCTATAAAACGCAGAGTCATATCCCGGTGGAGACTCAAGAATGACCTCTCCAAGCAAGTTCATCAAATCCCAAAATAAAATATTTCATCCTAGTCTGTCCCAAGCTATCAAGAACATGATCTGCCGTGATCAGAAGCAATTTGGGTCATCCACGGTCCACACATCAGCTGCCCTGGAGGTCAGGGTCAGGCCCGGGGCTCAGTCCCACACTCAGGTTAGGGAGTGTGTTCCGGTCCAAGGAACAGACGACTCTGCGCAGGGACCTCGGTCCTTCAACGGAGGGCTTCCTCTGACTCTGACGGTCCCTCCAGCGCCCACTCTGTCACCGCCTGGGAAATGGCCTTGGCTTCTACCGAAAAGGTCTGAAGTTTCTCAAGAAATAGCAGAGGATTCTGGAAACATTATGGCCTCAGCAATCAAGATCTTTCATCCAGTTTTTCCTGCTGCCCAAGAGGGGGGGGCCCAAACCAGACAGCCGCGGGCTTGCCTGCCCCGGGGGGCTGGGAGCCACTGCGCTAGCCGATCACTGCGTCCCCTCCTCCCAGCCCGCCGTTAGCAGGTTAGCCGAGAAGCCACACAAAGTCACAAGCGCGCCTCTGACATGTATGTGTGGCGTGGCTGTGGGGTGGGTGTGTCCTGAACTTTCCCCTAAAAGGCTTAAGCAGAGGCCCCCCGGCGCTGAGCGGGAGCGGCTGGGACGGTTCGCTCCTCACACCAATCCCCATGGCCACCGTGTCTGCATGTAATGGAGCCTCGTGTGAGCTTGCAAAGTCGGGGAAGGGCAGGGTACAGTGCTGGGACAGCTCGGGAACCACATCTGAGAATCGTGGACTCAGGTAAGGTACCTGAGAATGAGGGGCGCAGCGGGTGTGTGTGTGTGTGTGTGTGTGTCTGTGTGTGTGTGTGTGTGTGTCCATAACAAAGAACTGTAGGTCCCTCCAGCGCCCACTCTGTCACCGCCACTGCCCCACCTGCCTGGGACTGACGGGCCCTTACAGGTTGAACTGTGTCCCCAAAAGTCTTAATCCCCAGTTCCCAGTACCTTGAAGTGACCTTCAAGGACACAGGACTGACAGCAGCCCCAGAAGCTAGAACGGGCATGAGAGTCTCCCTCCCAGCCTCCAGGAGGAGCAGCCAACACCTGGACTTCAGACTCTCCTCCAAACAGCGTAGATTATGGTTGTGACAGGAAATAAATACAACGAGGTCCTGCAATGTGGGATTTTCACTCTTAAAACCAGGACAGTGCCCTGACTGGTTTGACTCAGTGGATAAAGCGTTGGCCTGCGGACTGAAGGGTCCTGGGTTCGATTCCAGTCAAGGGCATGTACCTTGGTTGCGGGCACATCCCCAGTGGGAGGCGTGCAGGAGGCAGCTTATTGACGTTTCTCTCTCATTGATGTTTCTTACTCTCTATCCCTCTCTCTTCCTCTCTGTAAAAAATCAATAAAATATATTTAAACTTAAAAACAAACAAACAAACAAACAAAAAAAACAGGACAGTCCCGATGAACCGGAATGGGAAGCCCACATTTCCACCAGAGGAGACGGATGCTCAGAGCCTGACCTGCTGTCGCAGTCCGTTCGGGCTGCTATAAACAGAACGCTAAGGCAGGGTGGCTTATCACAAGGGAAATTTATGTCTCAGGGTCTGGAGGCTGGAAGTCCAAAGTCAAGGTGGTGGCAGACTCAGTATCAGTGAGGTCCTGCTTCATAGATATGGTCCTCACATGGTGGAAAGGGAGAGAGAAATCTCTGGGGTCTCCTTTATGAGGGCACTAATCTCAGTCATCAGGGCTCCACCCTCATGACCCAGGCACTTCCCACCACCTCACACAGTACACTGGAAAGTGGGATTTCAACCTATGAACTGCGGGGTGGGGCACAAACATTCAGTCCATGGCAATTGCCAAGGGCAACCTAGCAAATCATGTGAGACCAAGAGTAAAATCCAATTTCTAAGAGTTGACCATGACCCCCAGGTGATTTGCATACACAGAATACAGACACTGTACACACTTGAATGAACGAGGGAGCAGCCCTACAACCTGGGGCTGGGAGTACTTAGTGCAGGTTCAGGCTCAGTCTGTCTGGGCCACATAGATCCCTAGAACTTGCATTACTTTTCTTTTTTTTAATACATATTTTTGTTGATTTCAGAGAGTAAGGGAGAAGGAGAGATAAACATCTATGATGAGAGAGAATCATTGATTGTCTGCCTGCTGCACACCCCCTACTGGGGTTCAAGCCCACAACCTGGGCATGTGCCCTTGACCAGAATTGAACTCAGGACCCTTTAGTATGCAGGCTGATGCTCCTTCCACTGAGCAAAATTCTGGCCAGGGCCAGAATTTGCATTTCTGACAAGTGCAATTTTTTAAAGTTCAAAGTTACAGGAATTCTATTCCCAGCTCTGTAACCCCGGGCTGGGGGCTGGTGTGGAGCTAAAACCTTGCTCCTCACAGGGACCTCTGCAGCCAAGACATCCCACCCCATTGAAAATCGCCACACTGGGTGTCAGACCACCCTGTTCCTCACCTCCCCTCTCCGACCAGTCTCAGGGTGCTTTCTTTAGTTCTCTAGTTGTAGAACTTCCACTCAGCCAGACTTCAGGTGGTTCTGAAAGATGGTATTCTGTGTTTTAGTTGTAATTTTGATGTGGTTGTGGGAGGTGGCAAGTATGGGTTGCCATCTTGGTTCTCTGGAGATGTACTTCTGTTTTAAGTTCAAGGTCACTGTGTCAGAATGCTCTAATGCTGCCAGAGGGCGTTTAGAGCAGTTGGGACTAGAGAGTCTTGTGATCAGAGCTCTATCGCCCCCTAGAGTCTGAGAAAGACATTAATGTCTGTGCCAACTTCCTTTATCCACATTCTTTCTTTATTGTTTTTAGGAGGGAGGAAGAGAGAGAAACATTGATCGGTTGTCTCTCCCACACGTCCCAAATGGAGATCGAACCTGAAACCTGGGTATGTGCCCTGACCGGAATCAAACCTGCCACCTTTTGGTGCACAGGACGATGCTCCAATCAACTGAGCAACGCCAGTCAGGGTTTTAAAACTGTATTGACTTGAGAGAGGAAGGAGGAGAGTGAGAGAGAATCATTTTTTGGTTGACTTCCTGTGTGTACCCTGGCTGGGGATCAAGCCACAACCTTTGCATATTGTGCGAAGCTCTAACCAACGGTTACCTGGCCAGGGCTCCTTTCCTACCTTCTTGACCCTCTACAACACATGTGTCAAACACAAGGCCCGCGGGCCAAATCCGTCCCGCCAGGCCTTGCAATGTGGCCCGCACCGTGCTGTCATCACTGCATTCCGCTGCGTTTCCATCACAATGACAGTTTATGACTGTTCAGTAAACCATTCGGCCCGCGATTTAGGCTGGATTTTAGATTTTGGCCCCTTCTCTGATTGAGTTCGACACCCCTACTCTACAACATGTAAGAGCGTGTGGGTCCCCAAGGTGCTTACAGGAACGTGCGGGCCAGGCCTCATGGCAGCTGGCCCAGAGGCCATCGTGGGTGCTGTCCGTTCTGGCGCTCACAGGTACTGATGACCTCACAGGTGTTTTGTTTTGTTTTTTGTTTTTAAAAATATTTTATTGATTTTTTACAAAGAGGAAGAGAGAGGGATAGAGAGTTAGAAACATCGATGAGAGAGAAACATCGACCAGCTGACTCCTTGCTCACCCCCTACTGGGGATGTGCTCACAACCAGGGTACATGCCCTTGACCGAAATCTAACCTGGGACCTTGAGTTCACAGGCCAACACTCTACCCACTGAGCCACACTGGTTAGGGCAATGACCTCTCAGGTTTCTGGGCTCAGGGGAAGGGGTATCTGAAAGCAGGGGCTCCCTGGGGAGGGGCGGGGACCTGACACTCCTGGGCGCTGCTCTAGCCAGGGCTCTGCACATCAGCCCTCTGAAGAAGGTGGGAAGTGACAGAGATGGTGTCCACGTCCCAGGTCCAGCGAACACCCGCCCCCACTCCGGGAAGAAACTGTGAGGCTGAGATGTGGGGAGGCCCTCTGTGTCCCCACAAACCACAGCGCTAATGGGGCTCTGGGCTGCGTCTTTCTCTCAGGCTCCCTGGCCCGGCCGCCCCGAGCTGGAGCCCTGGCCTTGCCATCGTCACCGCATGTTTCCCTCCGAGTGCACTGCTGCCTGTGAGCTGCACCCCCCGCCCCCCGTCCAACCTAATGTCCACCCTGTCCCAGCGTGGCGGTGGCAATGCCTGGCTCAGTCTAGAGGAGAGTGCTGAGCCCCACATTACCCAGGTGCTCTGAAAGGCCCGCGGATGGAAGGGGCCGCATGCTGACCTGACCGCTCAGGGAGGCCTGCCTGGTGGCCTTGCAAACTCAGACCTAAAGTCACCACTAAGGACGGTCTGACATTAACTAAACTCAGTGATGGGGTTAGTCACCTCCTAGGCTGGTATCTTCCCTGACCAGGTCCCCTTGGGGCACCACCTAATGAGCCTGGATGCCAGGACAGGTGCCACACTCCCCTTATTGTTACCATGGTAATTGTGGACTGTTGGCTATCCTACACCCATCTACACAAGTGTCTATCATTTTACTTGTTGTCCATCCTTGAGGTTCCCCCACTTTGCTTTCTCCAGCCTCTCTGACCTATCACCAATGGATTTCATCTAACTTAGATGAAATATCATATCGCCTTTGATATGTGATGTATAAATACAGATGTAATATCTCCCCCTCTGATGGCAATGTATAAATACAGATGTAACCCGCCATTCTCCGGAGCATTATCCCAATCTGTTGAAGTTCTGCTTCCCGGCAATCGTTGACAGTTTATCTCAAATAAACTCACAAAAATTATTTGCAGGTTTGAATGTTGTTTTTTATGTTAACATGCACAACCTAAGAAATGAACAAAAATGGGTCCAGGCCACAAACTGGGAGAAGGTCCTTACAATGCACACACACAGCAAAGGAACAGATAACAGGTTACACACACACACACACACACACACACACACACACACACGCCTGCATATACATCAATAAGAAAGTATTCAGAAGGATCGGGCAAAGAATATGAATAAGCAGACCAAACCCAAGTGAATGGTGTGCGATGGACAGATGTTGAGCAGCTGGATGCGAATCTGTGTGGGCACCTATGAGTGCCCCTTGGAGACCCTGCTGCACCCAGAGACTTGGAGGTGGGCTCAGGCTTCACCGGCAATGTCACTCAGACCCCAAAGGGGAGGCGTGGCCCCTCAGCGCTCAGAAATTTGAGGGGGTGCTGCTGAGGCAGGCTTTACTGGCAGGGCCCAGCACACGTGTCCTGCAGCGCGCAGTGCAGAGCTGTCCCACGGTTTCACCCACAGACACAGAGCATTCTTTTCTTGGGTTTAATATGCACTGAATGTTTCTAGGATGGGAACCTAAAGCTGCTCCAGAAAACGAAGTCTGTATTTCTTAGTTTTCCCATTTGAAAATAAGGGAAGTGATTTCCTATTCTTCGTCTTCCAGAATGTCTCTCTCCGCCCTCTTCACATGCACTTCACATGCACTAGTCCCGCTGTTTCTGAGTGGCCTGGCATGAGATTCCTGCCTGTGTTTGCTCTTCCTCAGCTGCCTGTACAACGCCCACTCCCACTTCTGAGTCTGTCTCCCCATCCCTCCCCTTCTAATTTGTCCAAAACATCTTCTATACCCAATGTTGCCTCACTGTCTTTGGAATTTCCAATGTGCATGTATTAAAACATTGATTTTTCGCTAAAACCGGTTTGGCTCAGTGGATAGATTGTCGGCTTGCGGACTGAAAGGTCCTGGGTTTGATTCCGGTCAGGGGCATGTACCTTGGTTGCAGGCACATCCCCAGTAGAGGGTGTGCAGGAGGCAGCTGATCGATGACTCTCTTTGGGGTTTCTGACTATCCCTCTCTCTTCCTCTCTGTAAAAAAACAATAAAAATATTTTTTTTAAATAAAATAAAACATTGATTTTCTCCTGTTAATCTGTCTCTGTTAATTTGATTAGTAGTCCAACCTAGAATAATTTAGGTGGGAAAATAAGTATTTTTTAAAATATATTTTTATTGATTTCAGAGAGGAAGAGAGGGAGAGAGAGGTAGAAACATCAGTGATGAGAAAATCATTGATCAGCTGCCTCCTGTACATTTCCCTACCTGGGCCTGGGCCCTTGATCAGAATCAAACCCTGGACCCTTCATTTTGAGGGCCAACTCTATCCACTGAGCCAAACGGACTAGGGCAGGAGAAGTATTTTTTATTTATTTATCTTTATTATTGAAATTATTACAGATGTCCCCTTTTCCCTTCCACCCCACACCAGTTCACCCCCACGGCCTTCACCCCACTGTTGTCTGTGTCCACGGGCTGTGCACATATGCATCCAAATTCTTCAGCTAACCTCTCACCCACTCCCGCCTTCCCCTGAGATTGTCAGTCTGTCCCATGGGTCTGTGTCTATGGATCTATTTTGTTCATCAATTTATTTTGTTCATTAGCTTCCACATAAGAGTGAGACCATGTGATAATTGTCTTTCTCTGGCTTATTTCACTCAGCGTGACCCTCTCCGGTGGGGAGAAGTATTAATATTCCTTTTAATATTCTTGGGGCACCCTGCTGTGCCCCAAGCACTGCATGGCCTCCTTTCCCTGGCCCTGCAGGGCTTCATCTGGGAAATGGTGATGAAAATGCACTTTCCTGACAGAGGCTCAGCCTGCTGCTCAGGGTCGGCCCTCTGCCCCTCCTCCCCCCACCCCAATCCAGCAGGACCCCCTCCTGGACCCTGCGGGGGCCCTCCAGTCGGGCAGGAGCGCTCTCTCCTTTGATCTCAGTGGCCGACCCAGCCAGCGAGGAGCCTTTGCTTTGTGTCCGCAGCTCCTCTGCGCACAGTTTGGGGCTGTCCATCCGGTGGCCTCAGTGTTGACTGCGCACTCCACAAACACTCTGAGCCTCTGTGAGGTGCCAAGGACTTCCGTGCCCGGAGAAGTCTGCGCGGGTGGGGCTGTGCGTTCCACAAACCGCCTTGCCATCACCGGGTGGTCTGGCGGAGCTCTGTGGCCGATGGGAGGCGGTTCTGGTCAGAGGTGGTGACACCAGAATGGACCGAGGGTGAGCTCTGACTCCTGAGGGGCTGCCGGGAGAGAGAAGGTGGGAGAGGAGAGGGACGGCATTCAGCGGGATCGGAGGTGGGGACTGAGGGGACCTGACAGGAGATGTGGGGTCAGCCAGAGTTCAGGCTATCGGAGCAAAAAGTCAAAGGGCTGGACTGGGAGCTGAGGCTGAGCAGCCGGCAGGGCGGGCCAGGGCAAAGGTGAGGGCTGTCTGCTGGGCCCTCAGGGGAAACGGTGAGGAAGGGAGTGGGGGCGGTCAGGGCAGGCTTTGTGATGGGGGAGGGACACACACACACAGAAGAGGGGGCGGAGCGGGCCCTGACTCCACAGGGACAGGTCAGGCGGGGTCAGAGAGGAGGCCAGGGGTGGAGGTGGGATCCCCAGTCAGTGGCCCCGGGGAGTGCGGACTGACTCCAGGCCTGGGGTCAGGGCGCCGGGGGTTGGGTCCCAGGCTGGGTGGCCCCTCGCAGGCTTACAGGTGCCAGCCAAGCAGATCCTTTGTCCTAGGCACCGTCCCCCACATCTGGTTCCGCTTCCTTGTCCGGACAGCGGGCACCGGTCACAGCGCTCAGGCGGTGAGTGCGACCCATAAACAAGGAGCCTAGATCCCACCCCCACCCCCTACCTCGCCCCACTGCTCTTTGCACCGGGATGTTGCGGGCAGGGGTGAGGGACAAACTGTTGTTTGATGCGCCCTTTGCATGTGACAAACCCAAGCACCGTTGGCTAAATTTCTTTTCTTTTTTTTCTTTTTTAAAATATATTTTATTGATTTTTTACAGAGAGGAAGAGAGAGGGACAGAGAGTTAGAAACATCCATGAGAGAGAAACATCCATCGGCTGCCTCTTGCACACCCCCTACTGGGGATGTGCCCGCAACCAAGGTCCATGCCCTTGACTGGAATCAAACCTGGGACCTTTCAGTCAGTCGACCTGCGGATTGGCTAGATTTCTTAACAAAAGGGACAGCCTGGCCCTGGCAGCTCAGTGGGGTAGAGCACCCTCCCAATACAGCAAGGTTGGTTTGATCCCGGGCCAGGCCACAAACAAGAATCAATGAATGCATCTCACACCTGTCAGAATGGCTACCATCTACAAACAAGTGTTGGTGAGAGAAAAAGGAACCCTCCTGCACTGCTGGTGGGAATGCAGACTGGGGCAGCCACTGTGGAGAACAGTATGGAGTTTCCTCAAAAAACTAAAAGTGGAACTCCCATTTGACCCAGTGATCCCACTCCTAGGAATATGCTGGAAACCAAATCAGTTCACTGAAAAAGAGATGGTGACAGGAAGCCAGGAAGGCAGGTCAACAACCGTAATTGCTCCAACCTTTAGTTGAGATATTGTTAGCTGAAGCAGAAGCTACCTTGTCCCTGAAAGTTTCTGTTATTTCCTGCCTAAGGGCTACATGTAAATTTCTGTTTATGTTGCCTAAGATGTCTTCCCCAAAGCCTCAATAAAAGGGGATGGCAGGGCCAGAGCAGGAGTAGTTCTCCCACTAGAGTTGGACTACCGCCTGGCCCCCACATCGCCAAGTTGAATTTCTTCAAGTCTCCTTTCATTTGTGTGCGGCCCTTCTCCAGAAGCTGAACCCTGGATTGGAACTCTTTCCACACGGCCGTGAGAGAGAGTCCTACATCTGGCGCCTTCACCGCGGGACTCTGGGGAGAAGGTATTTTTCTCCTAAGAGCGAAGGAAGGAAGAAAATCACACCGGAAAAAGGTGTGGAAGATTCACCGGAAAAAAAGGTGAGGGAAATTCACCGCACTCAAAGCCCACAGCCAGCTGCAGAGTCGCGAACTGTAAGTAGGGTGGGAACGTCTTTTTTCAGCCAGGCTAATGGGGAAGAATTAGGTTATAAATTTAAAGTAAATTTTATTATAAAAGTTTGGTTTGTATGCTTAAAGAATGTGATTTATTGTGCAAATTAAAATCTTAGTTTGTATTTGGAATTTAAAATCTGTAATAAGAAATGAAACTCCACCATTGGAACCGCCTCTGGTGCGGAGAAATTCAAAGGTGGCAGGAGTGGGCAGAGCCATCTGCTCTCCGAAAGTGAGATTACTTAATGCTTTGTTTAAAAGTTATAAAAGAACTTGCAAACTAGGTGTTATCTTGGCCAAATTGGGTGCTAGTTATTACTCCGGAAAGCAAAAGAGAAAGAAAAAATTTTTGAGATCTGTCTTTATCTATTAAGCATGAAAAAAATGTGTGGCCAGATTTGTTGAAACTTCTCCCAAAGTAAGCTTGATGCGGGGGAAGGGAGAGACCAGGCAATCCTATAAGGAGGACCACTCTCCCAGAAAGCTAGGGAATGTGGTAACTTGCATTTGAATGGCTACAAACTTCCTCCAAACTCCTGTGGCAAAATTTTTGTGGAAGTTTGCTTAATTATAAAAATAAAAAAGTAAAGTTTAAATTTGCCTCATAAAAAATCTAGAGGACAGAATTGAAGTTCTTAATTGATTATGTCTTGTATTTTTCTTAGAAATGTAAGGTGTCATTAATCTAGGACATGCAATATATGATTTGCCAGCTTTAAAAGTTCAAAGTGCAAATTAAATTGGAAGAAATTATATAGTTGTGGTAATTAAAATACCTAAAATATAATTTGTTTTTGAGAAAATAAAAAGTGTGTTTTCTCTAATAATTAGGAATTCAAAATAAGTTGCTTATTATTGGTCTAATTAAAAAAGAGGATTAATTCTGTGACCTCAACCAAATATTTTCTATGCAAAAACTAGTCTAAATTTAATTGATATCTTAAGATAATAATAAAAGGTATTATAATATTTAAATCACATATGGATATAGATATTTGTTTGATGGTTTTTTCCATGTTAAAATTTCAAGGCCTTAACAGAGATGATTCTTGGAAAGATCCAAGGGCCCAGAGAAATACAAGAAATTTATTCTCTTCTTAAATGATTTAAAACAGATTTAATAAACTTGAAATTGTATGGAAAGCCTTATCAAATAAAAATTAATAAATATAAATATTTTAGAAGGTTTATAGGCATGTATTGTTAATGGCAAAGGAAAGCAGTTAACTTTCCTGGCGCATGGTAAAGAAGACATATAGACGCGAGAATGTCTTTCTTGCCATGTTAGCAGTAATCATCTGTACGGTAATATTACCTGGGACAAATGTGGAAGTGTTTAGGACTTATGTTCCTGACCCTTCATGGGTAAAAGCCCTTATGTGGGCTGATCCCTTGCCAATGTAGTCACCAATAATCCTAAGCACCTTGGTCATCCAGGAAGAAAATGGGTGGGACAAGGAAGTATAATTACACAGGTGTTGCCACCCAGCTTCCCTTTTTGTATGACACAAAATCAAACCACTGCTCCTTTGTGTATAAAATTAAAGAGAGGTTTCTGGCTTGCACCAAAGTACAGGAATATCACTGCTTGCTCCTGGGAGAGGTGCGAGAATGTAACTAAGACCTTGTCTATACAAAAAGAGATTGACAGCCAGTTTGAATTTGAATTGCCATTGGCTTAGAACAAAGAATATCCTGGCATGGTATTATTCTACAATGTCATTTATAATTTTTGATATTTTACAACAGCATATTGTACAATTATTCCAAACAAAATTAAAAATCTAATTTTTGAATGTTTGGCAGCAATTTAAAAGGACATGAAAAGATTTAATCCCTTCCACTGTGTGGAAAGCCTCACTGGGAAGGCACTTGAGCATTCTATATTGGCCTTTCTTGCCTTATTTGCAGAGGGACCCTCTTGTCACAGTCCAGTTGCCCAGAGCTGTTGCTTGAGTTTTCAATTCATGCTGAGGTTAAAGCCTCGTGGTGGCTGGTACCATGGATCCGTCTCTCACAATGGCGTGAGCTGGGACCTCCCTGGAGAAGAAACCTGGGTTCCCCAAGATATGTGATCAATGCCGGGGCCCCGCCAGCAGGCGAGGGGATCCCAAGGCAGGTACTGGGCATGAAGGCCATAGGGGCAGAAGCTACCAAGGAGACAGAACTG